TCTAATCATTAGTGCAAATTCAGTTCCCAGTGGATGCTTAGTAGGGTTAGTGCATCAAGGTCACCATAGTATATAGTAGAAACTCGCTTATCCATGATTTCAAAGGTTTATTTACACCCAATGTCTTCATACTTCATCGAATGTCTGCCGTCGACTTGATAATCTGTATTGCTTTTTTGGTCAATAGGTCAAGGTCACCTAACCCGTAGTCGTTTCCAACGATATCTTAAGTTCTTTTTTACTTCATCTCTTCAAACTTCATTTTATTATTTATCCTGATGAATAAATATTTCCTAATGCTTTTGACATCAGTATGTCAAAGGTCACCCTAGTGGAAAGTCCGTTTCATAGCACCCAGTCTTCAAATGCAAATAATATTTGTATTCATTGACTAATTTGAAGTTAAATAGGTCTAAAATAAAGGTCACTGTTCTCCTTTAACTCCCATTTCCAATGACCGCTTGGTGCGTTGGATACAAGTTTTTCTTCAAAAGCATCTTTTAGTTCATTTTCACCTACCACTCTGGTACATGCATTCAAAGTTTTCAATATCTCTTCCAGTACTTTCGGGACTTTGATTTAAGTAAAGCGAGATTTCTTTATAAATCGACAGCAGCCGTGTATAAAACAATATAAAGGTCACGATTATCCATACAAATGTGTAGTATTATAAAATTTAGGAGTGACCATTTACTTGCAGAAACTATAAACAAAGCTTAACACAGTGGTATGATATATTTGGTATTTGTATTTAAAATGCTGATATCACATATTACATGTATCACTCATTTCCGTCACTTCCGTCCCATACATGAACGTCATTACATATGATACATGTACACGGGTCCAATTAGATCAAATATTGCTTCCGTCATTCTACTAATCTTTAATCAAGCACGCTCTTTTCCTCGTATTTTAAGAGAAATTACAAGAGTGGTAACTTTATCAAAAACTTTAGACGTATTGGAAATATCTTTTGTCAAGAATAGATAATTTTAGAACATTATTACTTTAAAGAATAAACTCAAAATAAACATTCGAAATGATATCAGTAATCTACAAAAAACTGGTGGGGACATTTCAACTCCATGAATACATGAATTCCTGATTTCATCTTCGTGAAGTTTTACAATTTCAACTTCAAGAATTCATGATTTCAAATTCATAAAATCACGATTTAAACTTCACGAATTCAACTTCGTGAGTCCACAAATTTAACTTCATGAATTCACGATCTCAACTTCATGAATTCACGATTTCAACTTCAATTTGTGAATTATTGAAGTTGAAATCGAAAATTCATGAAATCGTGTATTCAATATGTTGAAAACGGGAATTCACGAAGTTAAAATTATGAATTCATGAAAATGAAATCGAGAATTCATGAAGTTGAAATGGCTCTACCGGTCTTTCGTAGATATCAAATATATCCGCCGTATGATGTTGATCTTATGAAAGTTTGTCATCACTACGTGCTTATTGTGATGCGACAAAACTATATCAATTCTCTTAAGCTTACGCACAGATCGTGGTTTTCTTTGCTGACAAGTTATTAAGGTAGTCACAATTATTTCCTAATTGAGAGTAAATTGAAGCAACAAACGGTAGAAACTAACATATAAACTAGATTAAAGTGATAGTTTTACCCGATGCTAGACTATTGCACATTTTTTTGTTTTAAATACTATCATACTGACTGTCGTTTTCATGTATTCACTTTGTATACATTTGTTGTATTAGACTTTACCGCTGGCATGCTTTCAATTATCGTCAATTTATTTCAAAATGTGCGTATAATCAGCGTATCAAATTTTGATAAACTTTTTGCAATGCTTATTGAAATTTGAATTCTGCAAATTATTCAACAAGAGCTACTAAGAATCCTGTAAATGTACTAAAATTTGGGCGCCGAAAACCGTCGCCATTGCGACATCCCACAAACACGTTGTCGTCTGTCTCTAAATAAAATGTTCCAACTATGGTCGCAGCGTAAGTGTTGTCAAAATAAACGTTGACAGGGGTTCCTATCGCCTCTTTGTTGTTTACATACAGAAAGCATTTTAAGTCTGAAAGGACTAACAAATCATCTTCAACGCTCAATGAGGATAGAAAAAAGTAAATGCCTGCAGATGGACACGTGAATTTGCCACTTGTTTCACTGTAAGCGTTGTCATAGTTCTGAATAGTTTCTTTGAAAATCATTGGATTTTTACCGGACGCACCTTTGGCAGTGAACGCAACATGACGATCTGAAATAATGATATGATAATCTTTAAAGCCTTTAGCATAGCTGAACTTTTAAATACCTCAACTATTGGTAAATAATATAACGCCAATTTGACATAGACACATAATATTCAAAAATATCAAAAACGAATGTGATACCAATATTTGACGTAAAATGTTACGAAAAATTTGCATTCAGGAAAATCATATATATTCAAAGCATACCCTTCTGATTTTATAATTTAGATCGTGTTGATAATCTAGATAATACGTCATTGACATTGTTGCAGTAGGAAGCTGATACTTTGATAACATTGTAAGTACCGGTATACATGTTCCAGCGACATATTTGTATAACCTAGGCAGATATTTTCTTGATAACGATATAATACTATGACAAATTAAATATATATCACAATTAATATATACCAATGTTTTGATTTTTGAGGTATTTTCCTTGTGAATCGTTAACTTCTGTATACAGCTTTGTAATCTCTCCTTTAAAGTGTCCTTCCATCGTATTTATGTGATCTAATTGACTTGACACTGAAATACAGATTCAATAACACAGTATTTCTCATGATCAGTAACTATGTAGACAAAACAAATAAAGTGATAACAGAAAATCCGACACTCCAAGTTCTTTTTATCAAGCATTTATCAACCAGTTTGCATCTGGTACAACGTTATTACTTTTGAAAATATTCCAACAAAATGTTTTATCCTTAAGACAGCATTGTAATCTGTATAATGGGCAAACACCTTAGGGACTGATGAGATTAGTTTTTGTTTACAGATGCGCCGAGTTAACATCAACTGTAAAAAAAAAACAAATGACAAGTATACGTTTCAGTTTATGGACTTTTCGAAATATGTTTGCGCAAAATTCATTCACTTAGATTAAGGTACTAGTAATCAGTATATCAAAATTTTGTATGAATTAAACGAAGTACTAAAGCCTATAGGAACGTTATAATACATACCCCTGTTCGACAAAGTGAAAACGAGAGCCAGGCATGTGACTGACATAGAAAATACGACGATGACCACTATAACAAGCATACATTCCTTTAATGATACTTTCCCAACTTTGGTACTTGAATCAACTTTTCCAGGTTGTAATGGCTTTAATGTATCGTATTCATCCGTTCGCGCATTCCGTTTGTCTAGGGTTTCATACAGTTCCTTTTTATCGGACGTATGCCCTCTCACGTTTTCGTGTGATTGTTTTAAATGGTAATCATCCGGTATATAACTGTATATTCTATTAGTGAGATCGGTCGTCTTCATCGTGAGAGATAAGTTAATATAAAATAAAAACAATGAAAACTGTTATGCTTGTAAAAACATTTACAGTAGCACAAAGTATTAAAACGCAGGTTTCAAGGCAGAATCTCAAAGGTTTGTGTGGCAATGTGGTGATTTTTAAATAAAAACCAGGAAGACAACTCTCCGGACGGAAACTAGTATTTCCTGACTACGTTCATTTCGGTTTAGCAAGAAACAAATTATCGCATTTGATACGTGCTTGATCATACATGATAACATTATTATTTAAACTTAAAAGTACAGCGACATTTGCAGAAAGAATGGATTTCTAAATAAAAAAGGAAGAAAAAGATTAAGAAAGAGAAGGAAAAAATCAAAACAAAACAACACAATAACTATAATAGATTTCTATAACGTATCATCGTATCTTTAGTTAATATCTTGTTCCATTAAGACTATTTTGATTTTTCTGTTTATTGTCTAAAAAGAAAACAACTTTTTGTCTTCCAAATTATGTGTAAGGTCATGTTTTTACATGGAAAAAATCTAGAAACAAAGTGATCCCTCGGAAGCATTAATCACAACAAAATTACAAGAGAACTGCAGACTCGGTTTGATTGAGTCTGTACATTCTCAAGAACTCGATTTTGGGTAATTCAAAGACGTTTCTTTATTTTCTGTTGACCTTTACCCTCATATAGACGTGTTTTGACGGCTTTTCATCCCCATTTTTGAGAGCTCATACAGTGAAAAAAGCCCTATTTAGATCCAAAACACTTGTTTTCGTTTCGGATGTGTTATAAAAAAGTGATCTCTTTTTGGGCGCCATCCCCTATCAAATAGATACATCAAGGGGTTGCCAGAGGGGGGAAGTGCCTCCTTCTGCTTTCAAAGGGGGTGGGGGGGGAGGCAGCAGACCCAATTATCTGCAAAAACATTTTGGACTTGTGAAAGGCTAAAAATGGACTTAGGTCGACCATAAGGTAACTTGTAACAAACACCGAACAGCCTTTTGACTTTAGCTCAATCCATTGAGAAGTTGCAACACTTTGAAATCAGTTTTAATAGCAAAAAAGCAGCGCAAAGCAGTAAATTTGGCAATTTTGAGATGTCCCCCTTTGCCATGGTAACAGGAAATTTAAGATTGAGCATGCTGTTACAATGGCTATGATCCAGTCAACATTCGTACCAAGTTGGATTTGTATTAAAACATTGTTTTATAGTGTCGTAGCAGTGTGAAATTGTGAAAGGAGGCTTTTCAGTGAAAACAGCTTTTTTCACAATATGCTCATGCAGTAAAATGTTAAGTAACAATTTGGTATTTCGACTCCAATACGAAATACTTATCACGACTGCATCTGTTACCAAATATAAAACTTGTAAACTTGTCTCAGTTATATGGTTAATGGGCAATTTTGTGTTAAAAATCTGTAATAGAGCACCAACAGTAATAAGCCTTTAAGAAATAAGAAAATAGCATTTACGGGCAAAATAAGACTGAAACAATTAATAGAAGTTTATTTTTGAACAAAACTATTTTTTAAATAGAAACATGCAGACTAAAATTTTATAAAGGGTATATAAGGAACTCCATTGAGATTGTGTTTGAAATGATAGTACTTATAATGCTTTTTTACAAAATGTGTGCCATTTCATGCAGCTCCGGATCAATGGTTCGCTTTCAAGATTTCAACTTTCTTATCAGAATAATCATTTTAATTATGCCAAATAACACAAAAATATAAAGTGTTTATTCGATTAATAACGCTTTAGAAATTGAATTTTCCATTTAAATTTGGACATAATTCCTTTTTTATTTTTCGAAAATTTTAGGATAAGTGTTAGTTCCATTTAGACCTCAATTCATTAACATATCATCCAAATTCCTCGAAATAAAACATTATCAAAACGATTTCACGTCTTGTTCAAGTGATAAGATTTGATCAAAATGCACCCAATTTCATTGTTTTCAGTTAAAATGGATTGGCTTGCAATGGACACATTTTCCATATTAAGTATTTCAAATATTGATAAACATATCCCATATAAATATTCTTATGAACTATTACTTGGAAAGAAAATATTGATAAAGTTATTTCACAATATTTAAAATACTTGTGGAAAATTTGCCCAGTGTATAACAATCCTCTTTAAAAAGAGTATACATGTTAGCTAGCGGTACTACATTGAAAACAATGTATTTACCATAAATTTAGTTGTTATCAGCTGTTACGTTTAATATGACACATGGAAACAACAACATATTCAATCAAAAGCATATTTAATAGGCTCACGTAGACCATATGTTGTTATTTATTAAAACATTGGGTCATCATTGATCTACACATCTACACATTCAACATATCTTCAATTAACGAAAAGCTAACTTTGTTTGTAGTTCAGAAATGTAACGATATCTATAATGACAACTCATAAAACATACAAATAAAAATTCAACTTTTTAAAATTAGATATGTATCTTATTTCATGATTTGAGTCGCGTCACGACAAAACCAACATAGTGTGTTTGCGACCAGCATGGATCCAGACCAGCCTGCGCATCCGCACAGTCTGATCAGGATCCATGCTGTTCGCTCACCAACTATATTACAAGTAGAGAGACTGTATGATTTACTATGTTATCAATGTAGTAGTTAACATAACAAAATAATGTACAATACATATTAAATGACCATTGAGAGTAAAAATGACTATGTATTATACAGATAAATGAAAGATTCTAACATTAACATTCAGCAAAGTAATTTAGTACCGTAGCAAAGAAATAAATTTGTTTAGTAATCCACTACTATATAAAGTTAAAGAAGGAAGTTCAAAAAGATACAAAAGTCATTCACGCCACGACTAATGTTTAGTCACTATCGCTATGCTCGAGGACATCCTCAATCATGTCATTTGCATACTGTGTAATTTGTCTTAAGGCGATGAGAAGTGGTATATTCCTTTTCCAACTGATTTCAATAGCATCTTCATCTTCATAATTCGTAACTGGATGAATGGAGGCTTCAGGAATGTTAAATATTTCGCCTGCATTTTTAACAGCTTCTCTTACCTTAACGCTTCGGAACATGTTTGTAATGTTATCATGAACCTCTTTGCAAAGAACGTCAGCTTTTGTCAAGATCAAAACACGTGGCACACCTATAACGTACATGACAAATGTAACTTGAAAGCACTTGAATTAATGAATTTGCTAATATCTTAAAATTTTTCATGCTTTTTATTTTAAAAATAAAAAAAACCCTCAAATGTGGTTATTGGCTATTTCACACCGGTTCGTAGAATTTTGAATGTCGGTATAGGTTGAAAAAGAATTTACTAGGTAACATGACTGTAAGATTCTTAATTTTATTTTTGTATTTAGAGAATTGCATTAGCGATTAAAGTGTAATCAAATCAAAATTGTGATAGGAAGTTTATAAATGAGATCGTTTTGTCGATATACAATCCACGGATTTGCAACACCGACGGAAATACCGAAAGACTCTTAAAATTCGAGAAAAAACAAAACGCGCCAGTAACCTTAAGTTATATAAAACAGTTACAATTGACATATCATTTAATCGTTGGTGGTTTAATTAATTCTTTATTAATATGCAAAAATGTATTAAAAATATAAACTTTATATCAACTAAAAACATCAATCATACATTTGACATAAAAATCTGAGAGTGCCGGATAAATTTGTTAATTTGTGTGTTTGATATTTTAATGAATAGTTTACTGGATTGTCAACGTTATTGTTGGTCTCATTATTTTGGACAAATTTATATTCCAAAATGAGATTTTAAAAGCAATGTAAAATAATTTGTAGGAAGAATCATAGTTGAACGGAACTTTAATATCTGAAAAACTTAACAAGAAAGTGAAAGAACTAAAAATCTAAGAAACTTCAGAAGAAAAGACGTTCCCAGAACTTATGCCAATTAATTCTAGAACCTATTCAGATTAATTCAAAACTAGATACGTAAACCATTTCAGGAAGATGCTTTATATTAATTTACTTATTTTAGAATGGCTAATGAGTTTTACAAGATCATGGAAAATTCTACTTATATTCATGTCTTCCCCGTAAATTTTACAAAAATTCAACTGATTTTAGACGGCCTTTGACCAAATAATTAGACACATTGCAGGAAAATATCAATGTGCATGTAGTCAGTAAACAGTTTTCATTTACAGTTTAGAACCGTTTATTCTTTTTCTTGGTGCATAGTGACAAAATTACGAGTCATGTTAGAATTTTGTACGAAGAAAGAAATATTTGTTCTAATGTCTTTATTTAAATGACTATGCAATAAGATAACGATAAAAACCGACTTCCACATTAACAAGTTGTGACTAATCTTATTTAGGTTATGTCACATATAAGAAAATATAAGACAGTATCAGTAATAACCATCGTATAACAACGGACGATACGTCTTTTTGGAAGATAAAAGCTCTGTTTACTTACGTAATCGCTTCACGGCATCTTGTAGTTCTCTTATTTTCCTGACATAGGCTTGAGGAATATTTATGTGCATGACATTAGCATCAACTACAAAAACGACACAATGGGTTTGATGCTCGAACTTTGGATTAGCACGCCAGTGGTTATGTTCTGGTGAAATTGGATTTCTTGGGTTAAACTGAAATTTGAAGATAATAAAGGACATTAGCAATATTGCAAATTACAATCAATAATAAAATCATGATATGAATAATAAAAAACAATTCATGCCGTTCTTGATTGTTGTACTTATCCATATAAAATTGTTTGTTTCTTTTCCCAACGCATCAAGTCCATTATTTCTTTTTAAACTTTTGACCCAATAACTCAAATCACATTTATAGAAGGGAACCTAAAAAACAGTATTCTCACTCGTGGCCACGCCACTCGTGAGAATACTGTTTTTAAAGCCCACGCAATGAAATAAAAATAATTCATCTTACAAACGAACAAACAAATATCCTCTATATAAATCATACTTTAATTAATCAATTACCGTATAACCATCCTTAACATGCCCTTTAAGAAGAGCAACCATGTCCGCGATATTAAATCCTTCCTCAGCACTTTGTTCTAACCCCATGCAATCCCTTAGACGAAATTTATCTAGTAAGGATTTATCTGTGTATTTGTCATACTGAAATGAGCAATACAAATAAAACATAGTATGTCTTTCAGACAGACATGTACACGTTACCAATGCCAGTTGTATCAATTGGCTCTTTGTGTCAACTTTTATCTAACCAAGAACCTTTATTAATTATTATTGTCACCAGTAATTGTATTCACCAGGAAGAAACGACAATGTTTTTTATTCTCTATAACACATTAAACTATTAACTATAGTCTTTAGTTTGTTGTAGCACAACAAAATAAAAAAAAAACTAAGATTCTTAACTTAAATTCTGAGTTTTTTTAATAAAAATAGACCAAATTAATGTGACAAGAAATAGGAAATGCACCTTCCGAAACATATATTCACTTATTATAAAGATCCTACATATTACATTTATACGCCAAATTATGTATTACATTTTGACGTCGTTGTCCTTGACGTCATATGACGTTGACGTCATTTCCTGTAAACAAAGTATACCTGATGAAGACTTTTGAGTCGAAACGTTGTACATTTTTCAAATAACATAATTACATTTTTAAATTGATACTGGAGTTGATTTCTATATCAAAACTTACATATTCAATTATTCGAATTGGACATACTCAAAATAATTTATTTGATTTTAATAAATTTCTACAAGAAAAGTATTTTAGAATTTTTTAAACATGAATTTCCAATTCTGCTGTTTTGAGCGTTCTTTAAGGATTTTATTTCGCTAATTTGATAAATTACGATAATACTTTATTACAACAACACTTACGGCAGTACAGGAATATTAATCATTTTCTTATAATTGTATGTATAAGATACTGTACCAACATAGTAAATTAGTCATTTGATTCATACTGTTGAACACAGATATCTTTACTTCTTTTTGTTATTGAACCCTATTATGACATTTGTGTATGTATAAAGTTATCTGCCCCTTAAATGACCTGAAATAAAAAAATATCAAATTCAAGGACAGTGTACTCGAAATTGAGATGACAATGAAAAGTCTGTATAATTATATTGATTAAAATGAAAAGCTAACTTACAGTAGTTGTACAACTTTTGCTCCCCCTTTCAGTTGCAGCACGATCAACCTTATGTCCTTTAGAAACAGATAGTATTGCATTAACAAATGAAGACTTTCCCGCTCCAACAGGTCCAACTAATATGAAAGTAGGTTTCCATTTCGGTTGTATTTTTTTTATTTGTTCACGAAGTGACGATTCACTCTGATAAAAATAAATAAATTGATACCCTTTATGTCATAAAATTTCAATTGACAATACATTTTCATTATATTTTTATTGTATTGCAATAAAATATATAACATTCACTTAATCAATAAAGTAAAGACATTTTTGTTACATAAAAAAAACCGATAATTAGAACAGCAGAAATGTCGATGCTTCTAGATAACTGAAGCATCAAGAGTTTATAATACGTTCAGTTTTTTTTGTAAAGTGGAACTCTGGCAGACTCTGTATATACGAAGATCAGTCAAAAATACCTGAGTATTGGTAATATCTGTTAAACCGATAGACATATTCAAACGAAATTTGATACACACGTACACATGTATAAACTTATGTGATGAAATACGTAACCAATATGTCGTTTTATGAACAATCATAGCTGACGGCGCATTCGTGTTGACGCGTGAATTTAAATATTTTCAGGAAAATTGCGTTCGATAATTTAATGCTACGAAAGAATTTGACCTGCAGTAAGCCTGTTTGAAATCGGTAAAGGAATCCAAGTAATTCCAAAAATGAACGACACACGCACAATTCACCGAAACTTGTTACATTTCGCCGAAGTATGAACAATCAAAAAATGCTATAATATGATAGTAACGGTATGACATATTTTTGATGAACAGTCTTTGTCCAGAATAACGCCACAAACGACCAAAACTGAATTATCTTATGCCACTTAGTTTGCACCACAACGCTACGTATTATCAGGCGAACTGTGTTTAGTGTAAGTAGGAATACTGGGGAAAACTGCATATTCTACGGAATTCAGCATCTATGATTATTATATGTTCCCTAAATTAAAAGATCCTTAAAGAGGAATTTGTTACTGTGATTAACATTAATGAGGTGGTGCGGTACATCATCACCTTGCATTGTCTTGTAACAGCCATTCTGTCTTTTCAACATAGATGGGAGTCTTCAATACGATATGGAGGGAACGTACCACAAACAAAATGTAAGTGAATGTGTATGTTTTACAATCAAGAATCTCAATTATCTTTACTATCTCTCGTTATGTATACATTTTATATACCAAAAACTAAAACTAAAGCAATGAAATATAACATATGCGAAATGATATAAACAATAAAAAGCGATAAAAAAGGTTATCCAGCATAATTTCTATGATTATAATTTAGAATTTTTGGAGAAAACAAAATTAAAATCTTACGTCTTCACTCCATGCCGGTGTTGTTCTCCATGGGTTACTTGTAAAAGGACAAGGAGGCGCAGGCGGAGGCGCAGGTGGTTCATACGATCTAACTGAACCTAAAAATAGAAATCACATATAACTTAACCACGCCAGCACGGGTATAAAGAAATTAAGGTACACAACGTCATTTCTCAGAACATGCATGTTTGTTATATAATGTATTAAAGCATTGAAATGCCCGTTCCCCATTGGTTAAGATGTATTTTCTTTCTTTAAAATATAATTGATAAATGTCTAAGTATATTCTCTTTTTGCTTACAAAAGATCCTCTGGAAATCGTCGCTGATGTCACATAATAATTCTAAAGAAGCTTTGGAGGAACGCATAAATATAACCTTAATATACTTCTGCCGTATATAGGTATTTGTAGAAGCTACTACAGCATGTAGCAATCTAGTACAATCAAACGGGTCGACTTTTGATTTTATGGTAACAGGTAAGGTAATCTCGAACACTCGACCAAATGATCGAAGTTCTAGACTGACAGTCTAATAGCTATGTTTTCGCAGCACGAAGTAGTTTATTAGGGATAAGTCCAGTCTCTTGTTATAATTTTGCTTTCTTTCTGATTCTTATCGTATATGCATTTACACGCAGTACATTCAGGTATGAACCGATTCTGACAATATCATTATATTTATGAACATTCTTTACTTCTGTCGCAAGATGTCTCGTTTTGAAGTAATATTTGTAACAGATGCTTGAGATTGAAGGAATTTCAACATGTTTATTTCTGTATTTCATCGTATCTAACATCTTCGTTCGCTTTTGCAACCCGTATTTGCAGAAAGCCCTTCTCTATGTTGGTAAAATTAACAAAAATGTAGGCATGGATGTAACGTATCTTGTGTTGTGATACATTCGTCAGACTTTAAATATAGCCTCTCTTTGCATTGACATTTTTTATTTCCCAAACGTTTGAATGATTTTAAGTCTTGACGTTATCGTCTGATTATAATTTTTGTGCATTTGATGGTGATGACATTATTCGTTAGTAATGTAACGTGATTTTCTTTTTAAGGTAGTGTGGCTGTATAACAACGCTTTTGTAGACGCTTGGGTCACGCTGGTAGTTCTCTAGATTCTAGATTCAGGGTTCCTATCTTCCTCTTGAGATATATTCTATAATCCAAAACATCTTAAAGTTAATAGTATTTTGGAATGACCTTAGAAAGTTTAATAAATATGTGGGCGTATCTTATGTGGGGACTGGAGGATGTTGGAGTTTTGTTTGTTTTGGTCTAAGGGGAACACTGACAGTTTAACGGTCACAACACGCCTAATACTATAATAAGAAGGTCTTAAATACGTTACTAGTAAGTTAAATCTTTACTTCCTTTAAGTAATCGAATTGGATGAAACTGAACAAAATGTTTTCTAAGTGAATTGACTCGATGAAATATATCACCACCATACACAAGATCATGGCATTCAAGAAGGAAATGTATGACAGTAAAATATTTATCGCACGCTATAGAAAATGGAAGTTTGCCTCCTGTTAAAATGTAATAATGTTCTATGTCTACGTTCAGAAAAAAAGATTATAATGGTCAAGGAGTGATAAGGAAAGATGCCGATATATTAAGACAAGGGTTGATATCACGAAGGTTGTAAATTACAGCTTAGATTTCCATGAAATAAGTTTACTTAGTTAGGGTTTATAAACAATGTTTGTTAACGACGAATCTACTGGTCCAGAATTTGTTAATATCTACTTTTTTATTTCCATGTATTCCTATGTGGCTTAGAATCAAACACAATAAAACTGACTAAGTTTTTAAAATATCATTAAAACGCAAAACAAGTTTCTTAATCATAATATTATCGGACGTTTGATTTTTATTTCAGAAAAACACGCAGAGTGTATTTGAAGAGAAAAAAAAAGAAAATATATACATTTTTCTGTGAAATGACAATACTAGATCAATGGCATTTGCTTCAGCAGTAAATATGGATTCATTATCAGGTAGTGTTATTACATATGTGAGATGATTTTCAACCATCCTTTCAGTAAATTTCGATTAAATCTTCATGTTCATCTATGAATTTCGAATTTCTTTTTGAAAGTTCATGAGAACTTGTTGACCTTTTTAAAATCTAAATTCTAATATATGCTACCGATTTCATTTTGTCATGCATTATTTGGGCAAATTCAATTAATATGCTCACGCGCTTTAAAAAATAAAACTATCTAAAATTGATACAATATTTAATAGCGTTAAAAGTGTTTCGTTTTCCATCTTTCCTATTTTTCGTACAAATGCATGCAATGCTTACGATCTGTCATGACAATCATTGCTTTTTCTTCAAAAATTGGTGAAACTTCTTTAATTTTATTTTATCAAGTATCACTTTTACCCCAATTGTTGATTCAAAATTCATGTTGGAGTAATACTTAATCACTTATGGAGTTGTTTGTTATACTGGTTATGAGTAAGCAATACAAGAAAATCTGTCTGAGAAAAGAAGAGAAATGTATGGCAACTATAGCACTCTACGATAGGGGTAAATGATAAAAAAGAGAATTCCTTCTACAGCTATACAAGACCTCCCAGTGGCCTCTACGATGAGGTCCTGCAAAGAATAAAAGAGTGGTCTGCCATTGCTGAGAAGTTTGAAAAGAGATGGCACTTTCTACACTGCTGTGGTGGCAAGCATGTGGCGGTTACATGTCCTTCGAATACTAGCTCTATGTACAGAAACTACAAGGGCTTCTCCTCCATTGTCAGAATGGCCGTAATCGATGATGTCGCCTATAAGTTTCTTCGGATTGATGTCGGCTCTGATGGTCCAAACAACGATGCCGGTTACAATAAGTCATAATTGAAAGAAGGCCTGGAGAGTCCGAACAACGTATTCAGTCGCACTGAAGAGAAGTCCTTACCTGTTGACGACGGTCCTGTCCCATACTTCAGAGTAGGGGACAATGCTGTTGGAATAAACAAGAGCCAGGCGTGTTTATTATGACGCCTTCCTGACCACGTTCGAACGCATTGTTATCACAATACGACGTCATGTAACCATTGCGTGGCATTTGCATGTCATGTAGGTGAACTACTTGGTAAGGTAAAAAGTACCTTCTTTGAGGTATCTTCGGGGGTAGTTGAAGTGTTTTCGTGTGTAGTTAGAATGCCATCGTAGGAATCGTGGATCGGATGCGATGGTGGCATGACATTATGTAAGAATCGTACTTGCTGCGGCTGTTGATCGGCTGTCGTCAAATTTCGGGGCCATCTTTGCGAAATTCAAAATTCCATATTCGTATGCCCATCTGGTGTCGATTTCGGGACAGTGTGACGCCTGCATGTGGGATTTTGTTTTTCCCTATTCTCCTTAGAGCTTTATGCTATTGTGTTGGCACTTTTTGTGTCCTTTCTTGTTTTTATCGTCAACGATAAGTACCATCCCTTTCTCTTAGTTTTTATCATTATTCCCCTTTCCACGTCTGGTTGCTTCCTCTCCATCATTATCCTTTTGTTGGTTTTCTTACTCAATTATCTACTTCAATATCATATCGATTGTTCATTATTTCCTATCTTAAATTATTTTTAAAAACAACCTGTCCGTGCTTTTATCTTGAACCCTCTTTTGTTTTCTTTGATGACAAGTTGGGCTACTTGCTGGTGGTTCCATGTTACACAGTTATGTCGGGAGATGGCACCTATCCTTATTGATTTGTTTTTTTAATTTCCTAAGACTATTATTGTAAAATCCAATGCTTGTACCACGGTACTATTGGGGCTGTTCATCTGACTAAAGTTAAGGTCTTCTTATGTTTACATTTAGATCTGACGTTGGATAGTAGAAGGCTTCTTGTGACCCTTCAATCTTCTTGTCAGTGTCGCTTTTGTATAAATGTGGATCATTTTATTTTATTGTTAAGTACTGAAAACCCGAAACGTGTACGCAGTTTCAACGTTAGTTAAAAGATAAAAAAATACTTGTCTTAATCAACAAGAGCTAAAGCTTAGTTTCCATACCAACCAGTGACTTCATAGCAGCGATTGACTTTTCGTAGCAAGCTGTACATGTTTGTAGCAACCAGTGACTGCCTTAGTAAACACTAACTTTCCAAATGTGAAATTTACAATTGAATTTCGCTGCAGGCACTGACTTCCAAAAGATATCATATATTTTGTATAGCAACCAGTGATTTTGTACTTTGCCTTTGCAAAAGCAACCAGTAATGTTTTTTACACATGTATATTAAAAGATCCTGTAACACATTTTTTCATGTTTTTATATAACAAATATGATGCTCAAATTAAGATTTATCAATAATGTAGGATCCAGAAAGCATTATTTATAAAGATATTACCGAATTTAATATTTCATGTAAATAAAGGGGGATAATTAGAAATTTGTTTTCTATAAATCCTAAGTCAAATTTTCCAATAAGAAGTGAATGCATGTGATTTAATGATTACAGTACAAATATTTGACGTACATATTTTATATATTCTTCGGGATTTGAAAATTGTTGTACTAGCATAATTATATACATATATAATGTCACGTATGAGTGGTATACAACCTCAATTACAAAACATACAGGATCTTTAAGATAAAAATATTTGCTTTTTTATCATTTAAGATTAAATGTTTTTGTCTGATTTCCATTCTAATATAGAAGATTACCTGTTCCTTCTCATGGAGTGTATTCATATCTAGGTGACAAATACTGGGGCAATCATGGCCCTCTTGTTACGCGATTTAAGTATCTTTGTCACGGATAACTTTGCTTTCATTTGATGAATATTTTAGATATGTATCCTAAAATATGTTATAGTTTGGATCATAATAAGATAAGATCGCTCAGCACAACATAATTGTTATTTGTGCATGTTTATGGTACTTTTGGCGTTCTTGAGGGATACTGTTTTTTCCTATTTGATCAGATTTGAATTGATTTCAAACGCTTTTGTTGATTTATCCTGAAAACTAGAGTTAGTTTCGGAAATTTCAAAGCCGCTATGGTTTCGCAGACAAACTTGTAAAAGTATCATTGTTTAAGAAATAAATGTTAAAGGCCTTATATGAATTTCTTTTATAGAATTTAATAGAATGCTCAACTTTACTTAGGCCTTTCTGTAACAGATAAGCTCAATTTTGGAGATAAATATATAAATAAAGGTGTCATTTTCGTTTGCAGTCTTGTTCATCTCGGCAATTATCTAATTAAACTGTCACAAGAAATTATATTCTTACAGAAAGTTAGATATGAACATATAAACATTTTAACACATTAAAAATAAACAAAAAAGCCCTCAAAGTCCAACACATTTTGATCTAAATCAACTTTACAACCTGCAATAATTTTACTTTTATGCTTCTTAGACCTTTTCTACTTTTCATGTATCTAGAAGTGTTGCTCGTCGTTATGTGATAATAGCCCAAAGAAGTCCATACTGGTTATTTTGGATTCGAAAGTCATCATCGCATTTAGAGAGCAGCATCACACAATTTTTTAAAATCTTTGCCTGGTCTGCGATGAAATGCGGCGTTGAGACACCGCTTCAAATCTTGGTAGTCACCCTTTTTAAAAAACGGAAAGTAAGCGTTTGTTAAACCGAAATACTCTATCAGCTCCGTGTAATAATACTATTGTGATCTAAATTATGGAAAGGGCTGAGAATTTGCAATCGCTAGTAATTAGGTTTTTAGAAAACGAGATAACACAAAGTCGGTCGAACCGGGTGATGCTCCCCGAATAGGGTTTGGACACAGACAAGTTGCTCGCCCATATGGTCTCTTTCCGGTGGCGAGGGTAAACAAACGCAAACACACACACACACGACACAGACAAGTATTTTTTTGTTGATATCCCTAAGGTTTTAATTTCAGAGTTATAGCCGGGACTAATTTCAACGTGTAAAAATGTAAAACGGGCAATAACTCCAAGATTGGCGATGCAGAATTACGGTTCTTAAGCACTGCACTTTTACTCAATGAGATATATCTACCTACAGAATACTTTGTTAATATATCTTCGAGTTTAAGAGTTATGTTCCCTGCCAAGCAAATGTGTACGGACAGACAAAGAGGCGACAATATATACCTGTTAATGATTTTTCGGATTTGGTTATACATGTATTTTTATATATACATTGAGCTTGGCCAATAGTTAACCATACACGAATAAGGAATGATTGCTGTAATATTAATTAAAATTTAATACTAATTATATTTTTTAAAATTCGGTTTCTGAATGCGGTTCTTTGAGTGCACGAGGTACATCTTTTATTTCAATGCCATATAAAGATAAAAGGGACTTGAAATATTTTTTTCGAAAGTAATGTTGCAAGTGAGGAAGGTTAAAACCAATAACTTTTGTGCAAAATTTAAGATCTTTCGCTTACTCCGTTTTTCCAGAATTAGTATTCAAATTGTTAAAATGACCAAAATTGGAAAAGCATTGTAACGCTTAGCACCAGCAATCAGCAATTGTATTATGCACTTTATCTCTTTAATTAAAATAAATTGAATCAAATATTTAAATGAATTAGTATTTCTAAAAACATTGTTTTCATCATCATTTTTGGCGGGGACCGTTGATATCACACTTTTGGGACAACCCAATAGTAACACACTTTTAATGTATTTACGTATTATTGTTCATAAAGATTTACATATGATTTAATGTCATAAAATTTATAAACTGAGTGAACATTTATCATATCAACGTAAGCAGATGTAGACAAACTCTATACTATAAGAAACTTACTGTAACTGTGACTGTCATGTTCACTTTCAGTGTCACTCGAAAACAAACCTCCCATGTTACGAAATATTTTACACAAGTTTCCTCCTTATAACTACCTTTCTAAACACGGATACTTTTAAAAAAATGATCTGATGCAGTTTTATAAAATATAAAATCTTACGCGTGACGCCGGTTTGCAAATGTCAATATTTAACATTGCTTTACAGAAACCACCTGGCAATTAAAATAAACACAGACAGACAACTGAATAAAGCTTACACAGTTGCTAGGGCGCTCAAAAACTCAAGGCTACATATAACTTTACTTGTTTACTGTCTTAACATGCTTTTCATTGAAATATATTTCCGTTGGTGTAGAAATTAGATGCGGACGTTAAAAGAATTAAAATGGCCAAATAGATTCCAAGATTTCAGTTACTCATTTCAAATGACCAATAAAAAATCTTCTCATATTCAGAGAGAGAGAGAGAGAGAGAGAGAGAGGGAGAGAGAGAGAGAGAGAAGAGAGAAGAGAGAGAGAGAGAGAGAGAGAGAGAGAGAGAGAGAGAGAGAGAGAGAGAGAGAGAGGAGAGAGAGAGATGTCCGGATTAAAGAAAAACGATGCAATCGTACATCGCTTTGCTTAAGTTATTGTGCAATTACTGTTAAAATGCGTGCATAGAATGCAAACTTGTATATGTCGCCTCGTTAACATGCGCGATGTTTATTGAATGAATTAAGGTCACCTGTTTTTATGAAAAAGATTTTATATAATGTATAAGTTACTGAAACAATAAATTATTTTTTACAGCCTTCAGAGCGGACACGAAACTTTGGCAGACATGCGCAGTCAGTGATATCGGAATCCGAAACATTAATTATTATTTATGCTTCAATTCGTAGGGGGATTTATTACACATTTAAAAAACAGAATATTTTGTTTTTAAAAAATCTGGATGAAGTCTGACTAAGGGGTTGTGGTAGTAGGTAAACTGGGATAAAGTTTCCTGTCGACATACAGAAAACGTAAGTAATTTTTGTTAATATTTAGTAAGTTTTGTGAAGCAAAAAAGATTTAAAGAAGTGATATGATATATGTAATTTGCCAACTGACAGAAGTTAAAAAAACCCAAACAGGTTTGTAATTTGGGAGAAATGGTTTTAATGTTTAATATTTAGGTACTGAAGTGCAAGTCTCTGTCACACGTGTCGAGATAATTCCCTTTACATTAAACTCCGCTTATAACGAACTAATTGGGACATTCAAAATATGTTCCTTATATCCGGAGTTCCTTGTAAGCATATAGCGAATTAGTTCCTTATATCAGGAGTTTTATAGCGAACAGATTTACATATAACGAACTGATTGTTTACCATCGTCCTCCATTTTGAAGAGCATTTGATTTAGAATATTAGTCATATATTCAATACACGAGAGCGTACTTTTTTGGAATTTAAATTAATTGCTATTCCAGTTTAGAATTTACTCCTATGTCAATTTCTCATAAAATATAATATTTGTTTCTAAAATCTTTTCGTTTTCTTTTCTATGATTGAGAATAAACAAGATCTTCTTTTTATAATTTAATGGTGACTTTTACTTATGGAAGATAAAGATTTCTTTTCATTTAAATCAAGCGTACATTGCAGATTGCAAGCATGCGTGATTATGATGAATACCGATTATAAATTATTATAATTATTTTACTCGAGCACAACTATTGACGAAAAGAAATAAATACCCGTTTTATCTTGGTGAAAAGAGCAAATGCTAAAAATATCCTAAATAGAAAACTATACAAATTCATTTTGATAGATGTATTGAAGTACATACAATTCGGCCGAGTTTTAATCCGTGCCAATGAAAACGAAAGTCTATTTACGGATAGCCAATATATTGGAGTTCGTTATAAAAGTGTAATTTTCTGTACTTTTAACTAGATTTGGACTAAGATATGAGTTCCTTATAAGCGATAATTCCTTATAACCGTGTTCGCTATAATTTTTTTTATATTAAATAAAGAAGGGCAAAATTCGGGCCAAAATAAATTGTTCCCTATAACCGGAAGTTCGCTATAACCGTGTTCGCTATAAGTGAAGTTTACTGTAATTAAGTTTTTTTCTACTTGTTCATATTTGCAATTTCAAAGACCACGTTTCTTTCATTCTATTTATTAAGTTTGGAAACTCGAGATTCTTTTTCGCTACAATATTTCTGTTCTTCTTTTCCCTGGAGCGTGCAAACATTTAATCAAAATACTATGTATATGGCTTTTGATATGTGGTGTTTATATGTTAGAAAAGGGAATATTGTTTAAGGAAGATTTTGAATTTGGTTGAACCTTATTGTGGTGATATTAATTTATCTGGGTTCATTGGTTGTTGAATTGTAATTGGTTGATAAGTTATATTAAACATTTTGGTTGATAGAGGCCATGTTGTATTGCGGGACTTTGTCAGGTCAAGATTTTATCAGTTGATGATTTGGTTCTTTTTAAAAATATTTTGTAAACATAAGTTGCTATGGTTATTAGATGATGTGAAATTGATATTTTTTGTTGAATTTTTGTGGTTGATATTATATTGAGTTGTAAAATAATTCATTTTGTGTTCTTCATTTTGTAGCGATGTTTATTGTCTTGTTGGATAATAAATTGTTTAAAGCTTGGGGTCGCGAGGTGTTTACTATTGTTACATATAAAAGGCGTAGTCGGTCGTGAAAAGATATTTTGTATAAATGTTGTATGAATAGATTGTTTATTTTGGGTGAAAATAATGATCATAGATTTTTGTTGTAATGATGTTGTATATGGTTTGGAGATAAAAAAGGAATTGAGATAAAAAGATAAAAATACCTATAAGGATTATGTAAACAATTACTCGCTAGTTACCGAACTGAGAATACGTCAATTAAAAAAAGTCAGGCGGTGTTGCTCTGCTCCATATCATGGGAAGTGGTATAGTTGTTGTATTACCAAACCCTTCATAAAATTAAGTAAGGTCACCAGTCATTCTCCCGACATAATCCTTCAAACATAGTGGTAATACCTATATTATGTACAGGCAAAGTTTAATTTTAACCTCCACACATAGATTTTGAGATATTAAGAATGGTAATTTAAAAGTATTGTTTTGTATCACATTATTCACTTTTAGTTTTGTATAAATCATGGCTTTTTAAAGTATTTTCAAAAATGTTCTTATGGTTTACCTTGTGCTTTATATATTCAAACATAATATAATATTAAAATATCTCTTAAAGCTTATTATATTTTCACTAGTAAAACAACCATATAGAATTAAAACATTTCAATATTTCATCTACTTATTGTTGTTAAGATTTTTGATATAATTCTCAACGATGCTTAAAAATACAATAAAATTTTAATAATTCAGCGTGTGCCTTTAAGACGCCAAAATAGCCTTTGGTGTATAATGTTATGCATGTAGTCGTCCGTCCGTCCATCTGTTAGCTTATATTGAAATAAAGTGTTAACATATATATTTGCAGGAAGTCTGAGGTACAGATTAAGAACAACATGGCAGAGAATGTAAGGCAATTTCCTAACATTTATAAATTGATTACTGTTCCAACTACAACTAATGCTATTAAGAGATATTATTACACTTTTAATTGTCTCCTGTAAATTCAAGTAGGCTAAACTAATTGCAGTTTCAATTAATTGAATTTGCTGTCTCTAAGTAACAATTCAAAAGAAGGCAGCTGTTAATGTTTAAAAAAATCCGTTACTATGTAAAAAGCTTTACAAGCCTTAAATATGTATCATTCATACTGAAAAGAAATATCTGAAATAAATTTTTATTTATATTTTTATTTATAACGAAAGATGATAAAAAATTTACCGATAGATGATTCATTAACAAAAAACGATAGAAAATCTTGGAATTAATCAATATCGTGATTTTCCATGTTACAACTTGGCCTCACACATAATTTGAAGAAAAAAAATGTTGTTTTGTGGCATTTTTTATATTTTTTGGAAAATGATAAAAAAGCTTGGAATCAACAAAATCAAGTTTTTCCATGTCAAAACATGGCCTCACAGATAATGTTAAAGAAAAAATGTTTTGGGGCATTTTTTACAAATATTTTTTTCATTAATGCATTTACATAAAATACGCAGAACATAAATGAATCTATGCCCGCCACGCATGTACATGTAGAGCGATCGGGCGCTTGGTATAACCTTAAATATGACGTTAACGACGTCACAAGCGTATCTTTTTTTCTCATTCTCGAAGTATGCCATGCGTGTACCACAGATTGATGATGCCGGCGGGTCTGCTGGCTATATATATTTCGGTATAATAATGTCTTGTTAAAGCCTGGATGGTAATAAAGACGTCTTGTAATGATACAAACTTCCGTCCTTTTAACTGTCACTTGATTGCTGGAAATCTCGCACCTGCAATGAACTTTATATCTCGGTATATATTTTTGCTGAATGATAATGTATCATACATAGAGAAAATAATAAGATAATACAACCCAGAAGACAATTGTCATTATATCAAAATAAATGTATCGCATATACAATTTTGATTGTGAATGTTGTAGAGTTGACATAATTTTACGGGACATTTTAAAGACATTGATAATTTTGTTAAATCCGTAAAATAGTAAAATTCTTTAAACGATTTTAAAAGAAACAAATATATAACTGGAGAGGACTTTAGGTTTACCCTCAGTCTGTCCGTCCGTTACGCTTGTTGATTCATCCAGTATTTCTAGAGTAATTGCCATTGACTTAATAAAATCTATTCCATAATGTTGTGTTATTTGTTCCTTCAGTGCTGGAGATAAAATCTACAAACTTTACAGGAATAATGATCAGTTATGCACCTGAGGTTTTGCACGCAGCTTTGTAAGAGTTATTGCCCTCGGCTTATTATAAATTTTCAATTTTCAACTTGTTCGTGCATAGGTCTAAACGTATTTGACCCGTAGGCCTGAAAAGTTTACAAAAATGTTTGTCAGCATGTGTCCGTATGCACTTTGGAGTTTGCTTGTGGATTTATTAAGTGAATGTATAATTCTTGCCCTTTACTTAATAACTGATTTTTTGTTTACAATTTGTGGCATATGCCCAAAAATAGTTGACCTAGAGTCATAAGATTGACAAAACAGTGAAGTGTGGGGGCACCCGTGTCCTTTGGACACATTTTTAGTTTGTGTAAGTGATGAATGTTAAGTTAAGACAAGAATCTTCTCAACCTAAAACTAGTGACATAGTTTTAAGCTGGTATTATGTATTTTAATGGACAGACTTTAATTATTTTTATCTTTAATTATATTAGTTTATGCAATATTATGTTTTACTCAGGGGCGTAACTAGGCGTACTCCTGTACGCCCGTGCGTACAAATCAGTCCTGTATTCCGAAAACTCACATGCGCTAAAAGTTCTAAAAAAGTGATAAAAACAGAGGGGGTAGTGTGGTCGGGCAACATATATTCATATTGGCCTACTAAAATTTATTATCATTATATAAAAAATTCATAACATATACAGTATTTAACAAATAATGCATGGCCTTGAGGGCAATATGCAAGTTTACGGACGGATTGGTCAGACTGAGGAAGGTATATGGCCCGAAGCGCAGCTGAGGGACATATACCTTCCGAATCTAAATCCTGTCATCCCTTTTGTTGCTGACATTTTTACTATAATTTACTTTCAAATAATTTTTTATTTGTTCAGTGTGTGAAATATTTCAAACCCTAGTCGGAATAATTATTTTCAAGCGATACAGCAAAAAAAAAATCATGCTCTTTTGTTATTCAATTTTTGTTAATCAAATTAAACAGGCAAAAAAAACACGAACTTTAAGATTTAATATGACGTCATCCGGTCCATATAAAATTATGGACCGCCCCCGGTCTGTATGCGGTTTATGGACCGGATGACGTCATATTAAATATAGAAGGGCGTATGCAAATGAGGTATAATATTAATTAATATCTTTTAAAATGATCTATATAGCGATATCTTATACAGATTCAGCGGAGAAAAGTTACGAAAGGCTTAAAGTGCCTGGTTCAGCGACGACTCTTGGCCAAGATATTCCCCGAGCGTTGGCGGCATATGTTTTGCGCATCGTGCTTCTTATATTCGGCGAGCAGGTCGCCCGCAGTACTTTTTCCAAAACCCTTTACCCTTTATTTCCCATATTGGCCCTTTTGTGTTCTCTATTGGTTTTGGTAGGGTGCTTTCTGGGTACCCTTTTTGTGTGGCTATATTGTGTAGGGAGGTTGCGTTCTGCCAACGTCGCCTTGTATGTTTGATTTATTTCTCATCTTTTAATCAGAAAACATGTAACAAATTCTCAAAGTTAGGTGATTTTAAAATATCTTTGCGTGTACTTTTTGATATATTAGCGGCGATGTCTATACGCCGTATAAGAGGGGAAAATAGCCAATTTTTTGCTATAATATACGGTTAACGCACGTTTTTCCGTGTTATAACGTCTGCAGAGTCCCGAGGAACGGTAGTAGTATTTGGATAAATACTGTTCAAGCACAAGGATTAAATTTATGTGTTTTGTACTTAATATATATCATTAATCTGTTTTAATATTTTATGCTATAATAGCGTCAACGTAGGTTTATTTCGTGTTATAAAGTCTTCAGAATCCCTCGGAACGGTTGGACCAACGCACCAACCGTTCCCCGGGACTCTGCAGACGTTATAACACGTGCGTTTACCCTGTATTAAAAAGTAATAAAATATTTATCAGGCCACTGAACTTAGTCACAATTTCACAATATTATCATTCTTAATACAGTAAACTTCACTTATAGCGAACACGGTTATAGCGAACTTTCGGTTATAGGGAACAATTTATTTTGGCCCGAATTTTGCCCTTCTTTATTTAATATAAAAATATGGTTATAGCGAACACGGTTATAAGGAATTATCGCTTATAAGGAACTCATTTCTTAGTACCAATCTAGTTAAAAGTACAGAAAATTACACTTTTATAACGAACTCCAAAATATTGGCTTTTCGTTTTCATTGGCACGGATTAAAACTCGGCAGAATGTACCGTTTATCGTTGTATGAACTTCAATACATCTATTAAAATGAATTTGTATAGCTTTCTATTTAGGATATTTTTAGCATGAGCTCTTTTCACCAAGATAAAACGGTTATTTATTTATTTTCGTCAATAGTTTTACTCGCGTAAAATAATTATAATAATCTATAATCGGTTTTCAACATAATCACGCATGCTTGCAATCTGCAATGTACGCTTGATTTAAATGAAAAGAAATCTTTATCTTCCATAAGTAAAAGTCACCCTTAAATTATAATAGAAGATATTCAAAATCTTGTTTATTCTCAATCATGGAAAGAAAACGAAAAGACAGCCGTAGACAACTTTACATAACAACAAAACAGACGTCTAGTACGTGTTTGTTTTTGTTTGTTTATTTATTCATTTATTTTTAGTTTAAAATTTATTGAATACGGGAGATTTTTTGCTAAAACATCATTTTGAAGGTCGCAAAATAACAAATTTGTGCTGCAAAATATCAATTATAAATATAAGAAAAGTTTTATGGTACATTTACGTATTTTACATATTTTAAAATTTATGAAAAGAGTTTGAAATCATCACCAATATGTTGTCAATGTAGCCTCTAGATAGTCACGAAATGCCAGGATATCGCTCCTTTTTTTCAAAAATTTTCTCGGGGGAGCATGCCCCCAACCCCCCTAGTTAAGGAGTACATAGCAAAATAGCTCAGTTACGCCCCTGTTACTTGACTGTTAATAAATCAAAAGACAAAAATAGAGACATGTAGATAAGTATAAAAATTGATAATTTTGCAGTAAATATACACTTCGATTATATTTGCTGTGAAGTTATCAGCAAAGGGAAATTCAATCTCTTATTTTTAAAAAAGAAACAAAACGGCAAAATACTGTTTGTTTATGGTCTTAATATCAACGTTTTGTATGTATTTATAGATGAGACTATAACGAAATATAAAAGCAATCTTGATTTAATTCATTAAATTTAAAATGGTCGATTATGAATGAATGAAAAATGTATAACAATACATATTAACTTAGTATATTTTCTCATACACTTACCTCTAAATTTGCAGGATAATTTGATTGCAGAATTAAATCGGGCATGGAAATGTCTTGACGGAGCTATCAAAGAAAGTCTAGCCAGTGTAAGTGCATGTTTAACATTATTTGATATTAACTTATTTAAATGTCTTTGAAATTGTTTGCATTTGAAGTGATTATTCTTTTATATTTAAAATAGGATAAACAACATCGTAAGTTTATGGTAACGTAAATAAATAGACATTAATCATGACTTACTATTCAATGCTGAACTGACGTTTTGGCAAAGTATGAATAGAAAATTTAATAATTATTTATGTCTATAGATGCACAGTGATAATATATTCTTTTGAGAACATTTACTTTACAAATTTTAATGACATCTCTGAGTTGTTCAATTTAGTCATTTATTTGCTGTTTTGAATGAAATTACCGAGATAAACAGCGCATACGAATATTAATTATTATTATAATAGTTTTTATAGGCCATAGTTCTCTTGTTAAAGCCAATAACAAGTACCGTAGTGTTTTGCTAATTTTAAATGTAATGATCACATTTTTTCAGAAAAAGCTAGTTCTATAAAGAGGAAATAAAGCGATTAAAAACTGAATCTTTCATATATTGATAATTTTAGAAAAGAGACACTTTGATATTGCAAAGGGAAGACGGATCCAAAATCCTTCAGTGTATCGAGGTTAGAGTTTTTCTCTTTTTACTGTTTAATGTTATGACAACAGTATGTAGTGTCAATATGCCATTATATGAATGTTTGTTATGTCATTTGGCAAAAATCAATATTAGAAGAGAAAAAAGAAACAAAAAAAAAAAAAAAAAAAACAAAGAAAAAAAATAAATAAAAGAACAAGAGCAAATTAAACGTCCAATAACAAAACAACAATAAACATAAGTATTTTTGTCCAATGGCATCTCCAAGGCAGTGTTGTGGCAAAATTTTATTTATCTTCATATAATCTCTGTGGAAAATATAAAAAACGTCAACACTCTGAATTTGTCCTGCTTGATTGAGTCTTCGCCCGTTGCCCTTAATTTCGCCCTTTTGCATTTCTACATGTTTTTTGTTACATAAATCAACCATCATGTGTGTATTATATTTCTGCCTTTTGCCATAAATATCTATTGACTTGATTACGTAAGTCATTCAATATAATGTTATATTTTTCATTTTTATTCCGTTTACCAGTTATATTTTGTTTGGGGGGAATCGTAATGATTTAACACATTCCATGTAATGCATGCCTTCACTATGTTGCAAACATAAATTTGCAAGTGCTCATTAGATAATTAATACTTATTATTCACGTCAATCGTATATCATTTAGAAATCAAGAATGAGATTTGAAGAGGGACAGCCAAGCGGAACAAAGAAAAGTAAGTGACATGGTTGGATTTTTGCAAAGAATCAAGCTAAAAGGTTTTCGGCATCAGTTTTTCCTTTTAAAAGAGTACAGTACTTTACTGATATACACATTAGGACCATCACCAATTGGTAACAATTTCTTTCATTGATATTTAAAAGTAAAGCTTTTTTTGCACGGTTCCATGATTTCGTAAATTGTGTGAATCTGTGGACAGTAAATAAAGGTTTTTAAAGGAGTGTATAAGTATAATTTTTTTATTAATAAATGGTTAAATGTAAAAAATAAAAACATAAACAAAAGATATATGGTAAAAAGTACATAACAAAACACATTCATCAATCATTTAAATTATTTGAAGTTAAATATGTCAAAATTATACAACATAATTTGTCATGCGGTTTTGCCGGAACAATAAAACAAATATTTTGTTCGGCAAGATATAACTAAGAAAATAAAATATCTAAACAATAATTTTCTGATTTATTTCAGGAATGACCAGTTCTCACGGGAAGAGGAAATCTGTTTACGTCTATATGTCTGGTACTCGAAACAATCTTACTCAAATAATTGAAGAAGAATTCTCCAAACTTTTGTCGAAAATGTCCATAACTTGTGTATCTCTTACGGGCAAAGAGGAGCTTAAAGACAAACTGATTGTTCTTTGTCCAATTTACTCTAGATTACAATCAGACATCCAGTTTGTCCTTAAAGAGTTGCAACAATTTCCATGTAAGTTTTATTTGATTAACCTTTCAATGATTAAAAAATTAATACAATTTTGTTTTTAATTTAATAGAAATCATAGAAACACATAAATGTATGAAAGGCTTTTACTCATCTTTATATCAAAACCTTTTGTATAACCTTTTTCAAGTGAGATGTAATATACACACATAAATATTAGTTTAGACATAGTTATCTAAAAGAATGAATACAACATGTCAAACAATGAACACGAAAGTATTAATCCTGTTAGCTAAAATTACTACCAAAGTAGTTCAAATGTTGTAAATCAATCGATAACATTTGAAATAAATCTTGGCGCAAATCATTTGTATCTCAAGTTCTATAACTTATTCTGTGAGATTTTTTTAAAATCAGGACCAATTACAGTATAGTGTTTAAGATGGACATACTCATTAGTTACACAAGTTTTTCTACGAATAGTTCCAATAAACACAACCTTAGTTCATTTGAAGTAACATTTTTGAGATATGTCAGTTAAGTATGGGAAAATGTGTCTTTAAGTTATTAAGTGTGTAGATCTATTAATTTGTTCCTTCTTAAAAAACGTAAATTTTAAAGGTAAATTATGAAATATTACACCATGTCAGCCGCTCCCTTAAAGAAGTATAACATTACATCCTGTTTGTTGTAAACATACCGTATCTAGAATGATATTTAGTTGATTTTAAAATCCATTTTCGTGTCATGACAAAGTCATAGCAATAAGTAACATGTTTTTTACGGATTATACTGTAAGGATTCAGGTAATTTTTGATCATGTTCCATAACTTAGGACCAAATAAAAATGTAACTGTATCCATTGTTGATTTAGGTTTGGTCAGTAACTTAAAGCAAATACCCCGTGACTTATCTGAATTTTTCATGTATGTAGAAATTGCACGGAAAACATTGACCAGTATTTTCACTAGTTCACAAAGGACTAAAATATTCTAAATTGTATACTAGACTTATTTGTCTTGGATAGTGATCTACCGTTTAATCCCTGACGCCTTTATGAATTTAATCCCTAACTATGTAGTTTATTAAGTATAAAGTATTGTCCTTAAACGTTACCTTAATAGTACGCAAAGGGGTAAGTTTTACAAAACATCGCCATCTTCATGATTGTGTCAGAATATAAAAAGTTAATCAGTTTTTGATCAAAGAAATTTCATAAGAGATAGTCGTTAAGTTGTCAGATTCACTTGAAACATGGCAACATTAAATTTTGCCTATTGTCGTTGTTGAGTAAGAGGGCAGTTATCAATTATACTTTTTAAAATGTCACAATTGTTTATATTTCAGTACCTGGTAGATTTGCAATTGCTGTTATCAACATGACAAGGGAAGATTCTCTGCCTCGATTGCCAATTGAAACCAGGCTTGACCAACCAACGGATGATTATAACAACATACATTTTATTGATATGGCTTTCACGAAGGACAATCTTATGTATGATTGCAACATGAACAAGACAGCAAGAGAGAAAATCAAATCTTTCGTAAACAATATGTACCAACAAGAGCGATCAGAGGGCACATGTGTCGCCTCATAATAGCCAATTGCATGTTGCAGCTATTGTGTAACGGGAGACACAAAAATCATTAAAAAGCCAAGACGCGTTTTTGTGTTGCCTCTATAGAGTAGTGGCAACATATAGAGATCACTTCCCTGCCTGTATGTTCGTCTGTCTGTCTTTCCGTCCGTAACTAAATTTGTCCGGACTTCAACTAAAAAACTACTCGTGCAATTTCATCCAAACTTTACAGGAATGACTAGTACCAAGTCCAGTTGTGCATATCATCAGCATTTTACGGTTAAAAGATTTTTGTCAGAGTGATGACACTTTTAAGTTTTTATTTCAAAATTTGTGCGGACAACTTCTCTTATACCACTGTCCACTAATGCAATTCAATATCAATGAAGCTTTACATGATCTTTACCTCAAAGACTTGCACATATTACACGGGTTTTTCGGTTAAAATATTTTGGCTATGGGTTATGGTCCTTATATAAAAGAACTTAAAGGTGTTTTTGTGTTATCAACTACATAGAAGCTTGCCCAGACAACTTTTCAGAAATTACTGGTGCAATTTCATCCAAACTTTACAGGACTAATCAGTTCTAAGTCTAGTTGTGTGTAATATCGATCGGCATTTTACGGTGCAATGCTTTTTGTCAGAGTAAAGATCCTTTTATTACTTTTTCTATTAGAATTTGTCTGCACGACTCCTCTTATACCACTTATTCAATTTTCATGAAACTAAACAGGAATGATCAAGTAGCGCATGTACTATCACACATTACACGAGTTGTTCGGTTGAATAATTTTTGGCCGAGTTATTGCGTTTGAATAAAAGGGTATTCTTTCGTGCGGTTAGCTACACAGATCCTTTTCTTGCCTTCTCATTAGAAACTACTGTGCAATTTAATCAACACTATACAGAAATGATAAATACCAAGTCAAGTTGTGCATATCGTCGGTATTTTTAGTTCGATGATTTTTGTCAGAGTTCATTGACTTTAAAAATAAACGTGTCCGGACTTTCTTATACCACTTATATGCAATTACAATTAAACTTTACAGGATTGATCGGTAGCTCAAGTACTTGTACATATAATAAGGGTTTTCTGATTGAGTAACATTTGGCCCTTGAATAAAATACGATAAATAAGATCAACAAGGAAAGGCGGCGTTCAATCAACGCAACCCCCACACGACCCAGCAACATGAACCAGCGGCAATGAGCCCAGGGGGACCCCAAACAAAAGGAAGAGCACGGACAGGCCCATCACCAAAATGATACATAACAACTAACAGTAACCGACAAGGAAATCAAAATAAAAGAAAAGAAATAAAGATTAGCAGGCCCACTAAGCAAAAATGCACAGGGGAAGTGGGACAGGAAATTCGGGGAAAAATAGGGGAAAAAAACAACAAGAAAAACGCGTTTTGCCCTGTTAATAATTTTTCTCCTGCTTCAAAGTAGCAAAGAAAATGCGTTTTGCCCTGTAAATAATTTTCGAGCCTCCTGCTTCAAAGTAGCGAAAAAAATGCGTTTTGCCCTGTTAATAATTTTCGAGCCTCCCGCTTCAAAGTAGCAAAAAAAATGCGTTTTGCCCTGTTAATAATTTTCGAGTCTCCTGCTTCACAGTAGCTGCAACACGCAATTGGCTTTCATAAGGCTCTTTATTATTCAAACCATAATTGAAGAGGCGACAACAAAATGAAACATTCCAGCGACATGAAATAATCAATTACAAGACTGTATGTAAAAAATGAAGTACACATTAAGTACTTGCTTTTTTAAAATGTGAATGGCCGTGAGATAATATCAAATCAATGACATCATCAATCTCGTTATAAAAATTTTAGTTATATGATCTGGTCATTAATTTCATTTCATAAATATTTTGTCGTTTGGTTTTTGGATAATACATAAATAAACGCTTAGCTAATAAAATATAGAAAAGACATCTCTGTAATCATATGGAAACCTTGATTATGTAAACGTTATTGTCTTGTTGAATATCGATTAAACTTACTGATAAAGTCCATGAATAGTCCATGAATCAAACCAGGCAAGATCTCGACACAAATAATGCATAATTTACGTTCCGTTACTGCTCACTATTGTAAAGAGATTATAATTAAATTGCAATTTAATATTTAACTATCTTATCTTAAAAATTTATCAGTTTTATTATTGTAAAAAAATACTTTAGCCGAATTGCCAAGTTAATTTGGTTTTTGATAACTCTGCAGGAGAGTATGGGATTGAGTTCATATTTTTGAAATACACGACATCATTCAATAGCCTGTCAGGTGTGGTTTGCAAAACAAGCATAATTTTTACATTTGCTTTAAACATGCCAATCAATATCCACTGTAACATGATTTCTTTTCTTTTGTATCCAAATAATTGAAATGCTTACTTAGGCGTCAAAAGCAAATTAAAGTCTAACAAAAATTATATATTTGTAACGGTTTAAGAACCTTAATATGGTTTTGTTACTGAATGATTTATTAATACATAAAACAGATTGCGACTTAAAGTAATACAAATGAAACAGAATTACTTATGTTTTGTGTGCTTGTGTTTAAACTGAGTGCATTAAATCTTATAAGTGTACACTAATTATCTTTGCTGAAATATATACACCTATTTACATCGTCGATTTCGTCGTTATCCATAATGCATTTTTTTCGTACCATATAGTACTTTACAATAATCCTCAGAGAATCAACTTGCATAATCATACTAGACAATACTTATTCTAGACAATACTTATTCTAGACAATACTTATTCTAGACAATACTTATTCTAGACAATACTTATTCTAGACAATACTTATTCTAGACAATACTTATTCTCGACAATACTTATTCTAGACAATACTTATTCTAGCCGATACTTATTCTAGACAATACTTATTCTAGACAATACTTATTCTAGACAATACTTATTCTAGACAATACTTATTCTAGACAATACTTATTCTAGACAATACTTATTCTAGACAATACTTATACTAGACAATACTTATTCTAGACAATACTTATTCTAGACAATACTTATTCTAGACAATACTTATTCTAGACAATACTTATTCTAGACAATACTTATTCTAGACAATACTTATTCTAGACAATACTTATTCTAGACAATACTTATTCTAGACAAAAATGTTAAATATACAAACAGCTAAATACTAATCAAATCAAAACTTGTTTATTATGTTACTATTTGGGGCCAAGAAATCGGTTTAAATATTAATATGTAACAATGGTTTGTCCATTAAAAATTGTGATTGCTTGATGTAGCTTAGGTCTAATAATTTTCAGTCTTTGTTAATGTAAACTAAATTATTAAATATGATTTTATATGATCTAAAAATATCTGCAATCTCATTTGTCTAAGCATCCTTATTATCATATGCTAACCATTGTGTCGTTAAAGAAGTGAAAGGGAGATAAATAAATAAAGAAAATTAGTCTGCTGGAGAACTAAATTACTAAATAATGTAAAACTACCTATAACAGTAATCATGCTTAAAACACACAGTTGCACTGTGAAAATGCATTGCCATTTAATGTTGAACTTTATATTGAAATCTCTACCGGTTTCTGCATGCGACATGCCAATTAATTATAAAGTTATAGCCAGTTACATAAATAAATGTACCAAAATCAATAAATTTAACTTGAAATAAAGGTCATTTATGACACAAAATCAATGTACGTTATCAAGTCCAATGTAAATATCATCAACTTCACAGATATATGCCCAGAGACTGTTGTATCCATAAATGAGATACCAAAGTAAAAATTGTCGTACGCAGCCAGTTAATCAACATCATCTTCATAATTTCGTTACCAGGTACATGGAAGCTTCAGGAATACTGAATAGACCATAAGCTCTTTTGAAAGCTTTACTTACACGCACGCTACGAAACATTTATATATTTTCATCAACCTCTTCACAAAACAAACATGTTAGTACAGTCAAAAGCAATATACGTGTTATATTTATGAACAATTTGCATTATTTAATGTAAAATAACTTAATAAATTAATTTATCTTTATCTTACATAAAATAAAGAAATATTTTGTACAGTAACAATTTATTATAAGAATTGTAAGTGTATAGTTTTATTTTTAAGCAATTGATTTTATTTCAATGGTGAATTAATAACATCGACAGATATGTTCGTACGGCGGTGGTGATGAAACATTTAATTTGACATTTAAAACAGTAAAGTGGTACCTTCAAGTCTTTACTCGATTGCTGATTGCTGTTTCAGGTTTGAACCCTATTAGAAACAATGACTTAATTTCTTTTAATGCAACAGCACGGCCCGGCGACGCAAGACCACCGGCAAACCACAACAAATATACTACTTAATCTAAACCGTGTTACAATTTGTCAATCTTGCCGTAGATTTAACCAGTAAACATTCCAATAATTCACAAGAGGAACAATTCTGCAGTCCCCCTTTAAATGTTTGTACGAGTTGTCTCCCTAAGATTGGAACAATGGATCAAGTTATCACTTTTCATTATTTCGTATCTTTGATGATATTTGCGTGTATTTATATTATAATTGTTTATCATAATTATATAATTTCTATATGCTCATTTTTTAAAAAAAATAAAATTAATTTTATCGTCTGCTTATATTGAATTATCCATGATATTGTAAACTGGCCTCAGATAGAAGTGGTTAAAATTCCGCGCATCCATATTGGACGTATTTAATCTAAAACAACGATTGTAAACACGGAAGTGAAACTTTAGATAAAGACTATTCAAACGGTATTATTTAACAAATATTTACAATCAGAGACTGTTACTTCTGTTGTTAGTGAAAGGCAAGTTATTAACTGACCGACAACAACTCATCAAAGAAATCGACGTTATCAAGCGTTTACTCGGCAATTCAGATTTAATTGTCACCAAACAGTGCAATGGAAAATGACGGTACCCATAAATCAAAACGACAATTCTCCATATTTAACAATCAAAAATGGTTAAAACTGTAGATTAATTTATGTGACATTAAAATATTGTTTTGAGGAGCCATAAACTTGCATTTTATTGGTTTGACGTCATACATCATAACGGTACTGTACTAAATGTTTGAAACATTATCTTCTTAAATTGACAAAATTGTTTCTTCTGAATTTTTTCTTTTTGCTTTTGGTAAATCTTTAAAACCTTAACATATTCATGTAAAGAAATAATGATAAAATGTTCTTTCATTTATAATAATGGCTGATATCTTAATGCTGTATTCATATCTAATTATTGTACTTTTAAACCGAAAATATTTTGTTAGCCTTAAGTTAATGGAATATGACAATTGGTTTATTTAATTGGATTTTAAGGTTTGTTTTTAAACAAATATGTCATTTGACATCATGTTCAAGTAAAAAGGTTTCAAGTTGATATAAAATATGATAAACAAGATCAACAAGGAAAGGCGGTGTTCAATTGAAATTCGCCCTTATTATATTGTTAATAAAGAAAACGTCATTATTGTGACACAAATAAGTTAAAGAAGGTATTGATTCAATGTAAAGGTGTCAATGAAAAAATATGTCACAAGCGAAAAAAATAAAAAACATCAGAGGACAGGAGATTGATCTTGAATTAATTCAATCTTGAATCAAATTGAAAAAAAAAGTATTTTTAAGGGAATCAGTTCTAATATATAAGTGATTTGATAGGGTTATTTGAAGTTGAAACGATCTTACAAAACATTGCAGTTGTAATAAAATGTTTTGCGATATAACATTAAAAAAAACAACAACAACATAAACATTTAATCGGTCAAACAAAATCCTATATTAATCCGTATGTTAACCTCATTAAATAAAAAAGAGAATTAGTTCCATTGATGTTAAATGAATTGGTTTTTATTTGGTTTTGCAATAAAAAAAAACCCCAAAAAAACCAAAAAAAAAAACCAAAAAAAAATCCCAAAAATGAAATAAAAACTTAGGAGTTGTTGAAAGTGATGAACATGATGTAATTGTGTCATGATTGATAAAAAATATATATTTTGAATGTTATTAATTAACAGTTTCCTAATACTAAAGGGGTGAAGTTTTATCTATTGAACTTTTTTTATATTAACAGTAAAACTATATTGTTTTCATTCAGTTATGGTCGATTCTAAGAGGAAATGAAACAATGCATCTCTTATTTCAGACGCATAAAAAGTGTACGTCATCAAAATAAAAACTTTTGGAAAAGACCATTTTGTTGCTATTTTCAGTAGGGTTTTACATAAATAATATATTTTCGATCTTTGAAGGTCGTTTTGTGTGGTCTTATTTTTGTTCCATTCGAAGATTTTTTAACTGAGTAGTTCCTGCATACCAGGTTAAATACACTATAACTACCCTTTCCTGCCTTTTAAATTTCATTTTATTTTGGATGTACTTGAAACGCCCACTTCATGCCAATTGCATCCCGATAAATGTCTGTGCATCTGAACGGCAACTGTGCAGAATTTAAAGTTAATATATAGGACGGTATTCACAGGGTTTCAACAGCAACCATAACTTCCAAAAGGGCGTTCTAGCTAAGAAAACATTATAACGCCAAATGTCGGTGATTGCTTCTTACGTGCTCAAATGAATCCCGAGGACCGCATCAGGCACTCAAGGCCACGTTAGAAGTCCCCAAACTTGACCCTACGTAGTCCATGATGTTTTCACTGCGTCTTAGATCGCCCTTTAGACATATTAAGGACAGCAGTGATGAGGATATTACATAGACTAAAATACATCCTTTGTCACATTTGCGAAATTATTCGTTAAATAGCTGTTGCTTAAAGGGATATAAAACTGTATAAAAATAGATAAGGTATTTCAAAAATGATAAAATCAAACTGAGTTTTTATATATGTAAATGTATTTTCTCTCGGATTTCAAAATACGATACCTACCACGATTGGAAATATGTTATCAAAGGGAAATCAAAGTATGTAATAGTATTTCTAGGCAATGCATCAAAACAAATCTTTATCAATTTTTTTTTCTATATTAACAAGACCGATAGCCATGGTTAATTAGCATTTGGAACTGGTTCTGAAAGAAAGTTGAACGTACAGACATCTTTTTATAAAATTGGAATAATGTCTATCGAAGGAATACCGAAAAAAAAATATTTCTCAAATTCTGCAGACGATGTTGTCCTTAGTAAAGGAAACATGTTAATAATGCTTAAAGGAACTCCACTGAGGTTTATAAGCCTAAAAACATTAAATATTATTTTTTTCACATAGATAAACATGAGCACTTAAAACATAAATATTAATAAAATATAACCAAGAAATATAGAAGAAATACATTGAAAATCATATGTTTGTGCTATTCTCAGTTCGATTTGAGTGAAAAGCGTTTAAACGCTTTTCAATTTTGGGTCATTTTTCACTATTATAATAATTATTCTGGAAAAACGGAGCAAGCTAATGATCTGAAATTTTGCACATAAGTTATTAGTATAGATCTACAACAAATGGAGTAATAATCTCAAAATATTATTACCAGTCCCGTCATGTCAAAAACCCTCAGTGGAGTCCCTTTAAGATGTGACGCAAATTCAAAGAGCGACATTATTATTTACGCTGTATTAACTTTTATTGCAGTCTTCAGAAGAAATAATTCCACGTAAATTGATTTTACAAAGAAGGCAATCTACGACTTTGACATTACACAATTGAACATATTTCAGTTTTAACTAACTTTCCTATTTTCTAACATACTTTTAAAAATGTTTAACATGAATTTTGGAAATTAAATCTATAGTAAATTCGTAACTACAATGCTTGCTAATTTTTGTACATTTATCACCAAGTTGTTTCCTTTTGTCGTAGATTTACATTATACTTTCCCGAGCTACTTTGTACGTAAATGGTGCTTGTGATACGTTGACGTATGTGACGTCATTATTGTTTATTATTGTTGTTGTTATTGTATGACGTACATACTTGTAGTAAACTGAGAAAAGAAGACACAACGCAGTTGTACTTTATCAACCAATATACGATAGCTTTTGAACTATTTCACAAAAGACGACGGAAACAATCTATGCGTTACAACATGTGAACGTCTCTGTATAATAACTTCAATAGTTACCGGTTATATTACTCTAATCTACGTCAAGTTATGTATTCGACACGGCATTGTTTTTCCACGCATATAATTGGGACCTCCTTGATCTGATAATAAAGAGTTGTAGGTGAAGATACTGACCGGTATAAAAAGCATACATTCCTTCAATGGTACTTTCCAAACCTTCGAAACTTGGATAAATTAGTAATGTCTAGAATGCCACCGACTGCTCATCTGTCTTATTTCATGTTGATAAAATAATGCCAAGTTTCTGTATTGACTCAAATGAAATTACTGGAATAGATTGCACTCGAAAATTAAAAATGTTTATAATGTATGTTATTTGAAAAAAAAGGTTTAACGATACTAATTGCTTTCAAATTGTGTTACATTTATGGCGACGGTTGTTTTCAACAAATAATTGTAGAACATGAGACCAGTTATAAGACCTCTATTTGTAATAATCAATGTGTAGGGTTATAAATTAAAACTTTTCGAGCTATTTGAGATGATTTTCAAAGAAATGGACCATTTTAATTTACAGAATAATATCATTACTAGCCCAGTAAGAAATGAAATAATGACAAAAAATCAAAGTACAACACCATTGACATGTTTTTAAAGCAATTATTTACATATATTGAACATTTTAAGTTTCTAGAAGGTACTGTTTTAAAAGTGTCCTACGATAGATGGAAAGTTTGGCAAATTTGCTATCGTTTGTATCCTCCGCTGAAATAAATATTGTAAGTTTATTGAAACAAATGAATCGAGATCATCATTCTCTGCCTAATGTTTATTACAACATTTGCTTCGTATGTTCAATGATCACGAATATTCTGTTTTATGTCGTCTGTTTCTAGTTATTTTATCCACATCTAAACTCAAAGATAACTTTTTAAAAATCATTAAGATGGCGGCGTCTATATATTCTGAATGTTTTGAACGTATATCCTATATATTGCATCATCCAAGTTTTCAAACACATATATGTTACACATCCAACCATTTATCCCCCGTGCGAGTAGCATATAAGTTAAATCTGTTTATACTTTTATTAATTTTATTAATTTGTACTGTTATACAGCTGTATTATCATTTGCCCATGCTTTTAGATTAACCTTAAAATATTCTTACAAAAGCATCACGGCGATGTTGATTCTTTGCAATTTAAATTAGTCTTATATAAGTCTGGATTTTTCCCAATTCATTTCTAAATCTCAAATAAGACTCCTGTAGAAACTTTATCTTTTTATGAACAGCTTAACTCAATATCAACTGAAAAATTCAAATTTCTATTACATAAACACATTATTTCATCTGCCTAGTTTAACAATATTTTACAATCTTGACCATTTCTTTATGGCAATTGTTAGGTTTGTGCTGAATTGAGTCATATCAAAGTTTTTATCAATATTGCTCTTCAGTTTCAATGATTTTAAAGTGTGGCAATCATTACAATGGCCCCGACATCACCTTTTATGCAGACTCTACATTTGTAGGTAGCTTCAAGAAATTTGAAACCTATCTTGATGAACCGGTTCTATCAAACCAAGCCTGCGCAGTTTAAATTCTGCTTGTGTACAGTAAGTTTATCCTTATTTGTGGTAATGAAAATGCAGCTGAGTAAAATAAAGATAAATGCAATGCTAATATTTCATTAATGTGAAAGCAACACAAACAGCACTAAATGCACAAAAACATTCAGAACAAAATCAAAACAAACTTGTTTAATAGTAATTATGTTTTATAAATTGTTAAAAAATACAAGTATATTGAAACCTGATAATTCAGTTAGAGTCAATTATGCAGAATGCCTATTTTTAACATATACATTTGATGTCGTTTTTTTCGAAATGAAATAAATTATTATCAAAGAACTTTCTTTTATAAAGTGAGATGGTCCAAAACGGAAGGTCCCTGAAAAAACATAAATACATGTCCATTGTTGACCAATCCACTTTAAACAAAAAGTGTACGATGTTTTTGTTAGTTTGCGGTACTTATCGCACTGAAACAATAAATTAACAATACACATAATTGTCACCAGGAAACAAGGAAAAACAACATATTCAATCAAAAGCAGATTTAATAGGCTAACATAGACCATATGTCGGTTATTTTTTTTAACCATTGCGTCAACATTGACCATCTTCACATTCAACCAATCTTAAATTAGCGAAAAGAAAAGCTAACTTTCTTTTAAGCTCAGAAATATAATTATATTGATATTTACGATCTACAATGACAACTAGTAATAAATAAGAATTAAAATTCAACTTTTTATGAATTAGTTATATATATCTTCTTTCATGACTAGTTTTGTCAGCAATGTACATTTTCAGCATTATAAATACTTAACTAGTTATGGTAAGATACTTGTAGGTTATACGTTAAAAAGAACACGAAAATAACATTAAGGGGACTTGCAAAAGTGTATACTTATTTGAAGATGGACAGTATAATTAACGGTGTAGTTAACCTGAACAAAATAGAGTACAACACTTATTAAACGACACTTGATAGTAAAATGACTATGTATTATTTTCAACATGTAATTAAGAATCATGGTAAAAAAATAAGATTGTAAAGTAATGCACTACCATAAAAAAAAGAAATGAAGAGTTTCAAAAGGTATAAAAGTCACTCCTGCCATAACATATGTTTGTAACGATAGCTTGTTCGTTGAAAGCATCAATCTTCTCATTTGCATACTGTGTAATTTGCCTAAAGGCGAGCAGAAGTGGTATGTTCCTTTTCCAACTGATTTCAAAAGAATCTTCATAATTCCAAACTGGATGAATGGAGGCTAACGGAATATTAAACTCTTCGCTTGCTTTTATAACAGCTTCTCTAACCTTAACGCTTCGGAACATGTTTGTAATGTCCTTTTGAACCTCTTGGCAAAGAACGTCAGCTTTTGACAAGATCAAAACACTTGGTATACCTATATTGTAAATGAAAAATGTTTCTTGAAAGCACTTTAATTAAAAATATGCTAATATCTTAATATTAAACATATTTTATTTTTTATAAATAATAAAAAAATAACCTTAGCGATTTCACACCGATTCGGGGTTTGGATGAGAAGGATTTTGAAATTCGGTTTAGATTAAAACAGAATTCTCTAAGCATTGTGACTGTATGATTCTGATCGTGAATTTAGATTTAAGAGAATTGTGTTAGACATTACAGTTTATTCAAATAATAAGATTATGCATGAGACAATTTTGTCGATACTATATCCACGAATTTGCAACACCGACGGAAGTACCGAAAACACTTAAAATCCGAAAAACGCAAGTAACCTAAAATAATCAAAAAATACTTTTGTAAACAGCAGTTACAATTGACATGCAATTTTATCGTTGGCAGTTATATACATATTACATTAATATGCAAAAATATAAATATATGAAATCAATTGAAAAGATCAGATCAATCGCTAATTTGTCATTAAAAGCTGACGGTGCCGGATAAATTCTTTTTTGCGTGTTTTCGATATTTTTAAGCAGATAAGTTTACATTATTGCTGGTCTCGTTATTTTGCACATATTTATAATTCAAAAATGATATTTCAAAATCAATGTTAAATAATTTGTAGGAGGAAACATGGTTGAACAGAACTTTAAATACTTCATGTAACAATTTGGTATTTTGACTTTAATATGAAATACATAGCACGAATGTATCTCTCATATCTATGCCAACATAAATGTTAAAGATTACTAAGCTATATTGCTAACTGGCAAATATGTTTAAAATTATCTGTCATAAAGCACCAAAAGTAATAAGCTTTTGAAAAATAAGAACATAGCACTTACGGACAAATGGGTCTGATACAATTAAAGGTTTTTTATGTGTGAAAAAGTTAATCTTTTTATAACAACAACATGAAAACTCAACTTTGTAGGATATTCTACGGAATCCTTTTATGACCATACACATATATACACACCGAGAAAATTATTCAAAGAAGTGGGGGTATATTGCTCTGTCAGCCGGCAGTCGGCCGGTTGGTCCGCAGACCAAATGGTTTCCGATCAATAACTAAAGAACACTTGCGCATAGGAACATCAAACTTGATGACTGTGCATGACCAGTAAATGAACTTTATTGATTTTGGAGTTAAAGAGTCAAAGGCCAATGTCACATTGACCTTGTAGGAAAAAACTGTTTCCGATCATTATTAAAACAAAGCTAAGGCCTTGGAACTTCAAGCTTGATATGATGAATGACCATGACCAGTAAATGATCCCTATTGGCTTTGGGGTCATAAGGTCAAAGCCCAAGGTCACATTGACATTGAAGGTAAAAACGGCTTCCGATCAATAAAGAAGATAAGTAAAGAACGCTAGGGCCAAGGAACTTCAAACTTGGTAAGGTGATTAGTCCTGACCAGCACATGTATCCTATTAATTTTGGAGTTAAGAGGTCAAAAGTCAAATTAACCTTGTAGGTAAAAACGGTTTCCGATAAATAACTAAAGAACTCTATAGCCTACGAACTTCAAACTTGGTAAATGATTGTGCATGAACAGTCGTTGACCCCTTTTGGGGTCAAAGGTCAAGGTCACAATGACTTTATAGGTAAAAACGTTTTCCGATCAATAACTAGAGAACAATTAGACCTAGGAACTTTAAACTTGGTATGACGATGGTTCATCACCTGTAGATGAACCCTGTAAATGAACCCTTTTGATTTTGGGGTCAAAGGTCAAGGTCATATTGACCTTGTAGGTTAAAACGGTTTCCAATCAATGACTTGACAAGCAATGAGCTGTTGGCCTTCAAACTTTGTAGGTACATTGGCCCTGGATATTGATTTTGGGGTCAAAGTGTAAATGGTTAAGTTCATATTGACCTTAAAGGTAAAATGATTTTCGATCAATCTGGACAAGCTGTTGCCAGGTGCATTGGTCTTGGCAAGTAGATGACCCCTTTAACTTTTGGGTCAAGGTGTAGAAGGTTGATGTCACATTGTCCTTGTAAGTCAAAACAGTTTCCTATCAATAACCGGACAACACTTGAACCATTGGCCTTCAAACTTTACAAATGCATTGCTCTTGGGCAGAAGATGACCTCAATGGATATTTGGGGTCAAGGGTTCAGAGTTCAAGTCAAATTAATCTGATAGGTAAAAAGCTTTCTGATCAACATATCAACAACTCATGGGCATTTACCTTCAAACTTCATTGGTGCATTGGTCTTCGTCTGTAGATAACCCATTTTGATTTATAGGTCAAAGGTCATAATCACATTGACTTTGCACATAAAGACCTAGTGACAAGTCATTACCAGTAGATAACCCCTATTGATACTTTGGTCACTTGGTTAAAAGTCAGTCATAAAAACATGACCACATGACTAACTGGCTGCCGATAAGGGGCATACATGTTTTTTTTAAACGTAACTTGTTAAAAATATAAGTTTTTGTATTAGATTCTATTAAAAATTTGACATCACTGTTAACAAATGTTCAATCACTATCGCTAAAACTGTTCGATATCAGTTTCAATCTTGTAAATTGCATACTGTGTAATTTGCCTCAATGCGAAGAGAAGAGTTATGATCCTTTTTCCAATTGATTTCAGTAACGTCTTCATAATTTGTAACAGGATGAATGCGGGCTACGGAAATGTTATAAACTTCGATTGCCGTTTTAACAGCTTCTCTTATCTTAATGCTTCAGAACATGTTTGCTATTTTCTTTTGAACCTCTAGGCAAAGAACATCAGATTTTGTCAAGATCAAAATACGTGGTACACCTATGTTGTACATGAAAAATGGTACTTAAAGATATTTTATGCTTATTCTTGAGTAAAATATTTTAATCACGGAAATTCGTTGATATATTTATATACAATTCTTACTGAATATGTTAATGTTAATAAAAGAAGCTATGAACTATGTATGGGAAGCTGCACGTCAAGCAAAGTTAGCCTTTCCTTAAAAAATGCCAGTTTTTTTAATGGCACTATATATTTATATTGTGACCACCTATAGTGTTTAGAAATTTAAACATAACATATCTACTTTGTGAGAAGTCATAACATGTTGATAATATATTTATAAAGAGACTTTGTAGCAATTATCAATATTTTCTAATATCAAATTTGATCATAGTATATCTTTAAGGCAAATGTTTTTTTTTCTTCTTCATGTTTTCGTTAAGAAATATTATATGCCTAAGCGGTGTTAATCGGCTTTTTTCACACCGGTTTGGGGTTTTGAAGCAAAGGATTTGACTATTAAAACCAAAGGCCTGAGTGGTATTTTTCGGCCTAATGTTATTGTTTGCTTTGCAAAAAATTCTGGAAACAAAGTGATCCCTCGGAAGCATTAATCACAAATCAAAAGTTCTTTCTAGCATTAACGTTATCTCAAAGGACTTATGTTAACAGAAAATAAGTGCGGTAATCGAGAATTGTTTCTACAATATGACCAAAAGGTTATTAAATTAGAGTGCAAACGCATCAATTAGTCCTATAACACATTTATTACTTTATACAATGGTTCTTAGACACCACATTATCTCTTACTGGTCATTGCAGTTTACTCTTGTACAATGTATGTGCATTCTAATTAGCACAATAATGAATCTAACTTAGAATAATTTTACGTTAAAAGACATGAACAGATAAACAAGAGGACCATGATGGCCCTAGATCGCTCACCTGACTTATCAAACTCATCCAAACAATTACCTAGACAAGCATTCTGACCAAGTCTCATGACAGGTGAGTCAAAAATGTGACCACTACAGTGTTAACAAGGATTATCCATATTTGAGCAGTGCGACCTAGTTTTTTACCCAGGTGACACATGTTCAAACTTGAAATCATCAAAACAAACTATCAGACCAATTTCTAGGATACTTGGATCAACACAGTAGCAACTAGAGTGTTAACAAGATTTTTCTATTTTTAGCTCCGGTGACCTAGTTTCACATGCGATTTCGAACTCATCCAAGCAATTACCTAGACAAGCATCCTGACCAAGTTTGATGATAATTGAGTCAAAAATGTGACAACAAGGTTTTTCAATATTTGGGCGGTGTGACCTAGTTTTTCATCCAAGATGACCCATGTTCGATCTTGACTTAGAAATCACCAAAACAAACTTTCAGACCAATTAACAGAATATTTGGATCACAACAGTAGCCACTAGAGTGTTAACTATATTTTTCTATTTTTAGCTCCTGTGACCTAGTTTTTCATCCGAGATGTCCCATGTTCGATTTATTCCTAGGAATGACATAGACAAGTTTCCTGACCAAGTTTGATGACAATTGAGTCAAAATTGTGACTACTAGAGTGTTCCTGTGACCTACTTTTTCATCCTACTTTTTCATCCGAGATGACCCATGTTCATACTCATCCGAGCTATCACCTAGACCAACATCTTGACCAAGTTTGATGATGACTGATGTAAAAATGTGACCGCTAGAGTGTTAATAAGGTTTTTCTATTTTTAGCTCCGGTGACCTACTTTTTCATCCGAGATGACCCATGTTCAAACTCATCCTAGCTATCACTAAGACAAGCATCTTGACCAAGTTTGATGATGACTGATGTAAAAATGTGACCGCTAGAGTGTTAAGAAGGTTTTTTTCTATTTTTAGCTCCGGTGACCTACTTTTTCATTCGAGATGATCCATGTTCGAACTCATCTGAGCTATTATCTAAACAAGCATCCTGACCAAGTTTGATGATGATTGGGACAAAAATATGACCACTAGAGTGTTTACAAGTTTTTTTTTATTTTTAGCTCCCATGACCTAGTTTTTCATCAGAGATGACCCATGTTCGAACTCATCCAAGCAATTGACTAGACAAGCATTCTGAATAAATTTGATGATGATTGGTTAAAAAATGTGACCACTAAAGTGTTCACAAGGTTTATCTACTATTTATAGCTCCTGTGACCTACTTTTTCATTCGAGATGACCCATGTTCGAACTCATCTAAGCTATTGCCTAGACAAACATCCTGACCAAGTTTGATGATGATTGGGTCAAAAATGTGACCTCTAGAGTGTTCACAAGGTTTTTCTATTTTTAGCTCTTGTGACCTAGTTTTTCATCCGAGATGAGCCATGTTTGATCTCATCCGAGCTTTCAACTAGATAAGCATCCTGACCAAGTTTGATGATGATTGAGGCAAAAAGTGTTCACAATCAATTGTGGACGTACGACGGACGACGGACGACGGACATTCACCGATCCTAAAAGCTCACCCTAAAAATACAAGCATCGGATAACAGAATTAAAATCCAAAACAAATACAAGCTTAAATAACAGTTTTTTCATTTTTTGGACAAATCGGTCGTGTATAAATGTACTCATGTGGTTGTTAGAAAAGTTTGAGTTGATAAACGGTATGTTCTTTTCTATTCCTTATTAGCTGCTTATGAGTTGTTTTTCCGTTTCTTAGTTCATCTCCCGTGTGACTGATGAACAATTAACTGCATCCGTATCAAATTGGATCATGTATCTCACAATTGCCTACAACTTCCATGTTCAATTCTTTCGTGGTTTATTGTTTTACCTAATACTAAAAATTCTGGTAAAAGTGTGGTCCCTCCGAAGTATTGATCAATGCAAAATTAAATGCAGAGATTGCAGACTTGGTTTGATTGAGTCTGTACATGAGGGATAAAGACGTAATTATTCATTTTATTACAGACCTTCCATTATAACCAATTCATTTTATTGTATAAGCTTCTATTATATTATCATACAGTTCATATCTTGAATCATTGCATTGGGGTTTTTTAGGAATTGTTTTCTTTTCTTAAAATTTAGATTTGATCAGCTACCATTTAAGTTAAGACACTGCTTTTTGCGCTTTATTGTTTGTGTACTGCTTATCATTCTTTTTAAAATCGTACGCACACACAGAGAAAAATTTAAACAAAATTCATTAATGTTTGTTTTGTGATAGATTTCATCAGTTGACTTTATAAACGAGTAACTTCCGTTTTTACCCAGATTATAATTTTACTGACAAAAAGTACAAAGAAACAAGTATAAGGTTCAATCCTGTATTCATTTTCATTAAATAGTAATATGTTGATCTTTAATAACAGGTAATTAACTACTCACATCTTAAAACTAAATAAAAGCAATCAGAATATATTAGTCTACCTAATTAACAAGCCCCAGTATTGACGTAAATAGTGAATGAATTCTACAAAAATTAAAACCCCAGCAAAAAGATTTAAAATATTGCCTTAATTCCAAAAAAAGTTCCAACAAGAGATACGATCTACCTTTCGAGTGTCGGTGACTTAGCAGCTAAATGAGAATTTAAGTTCAATTAACACCGCTTTCATGCCGAAATGCATGCAAATTTCATGTTCCAGTTAACTCACATTGAGGGGAATTACAAAAGTATATAATTATTTGAAGCAAGACAGTATCATTTACTGTGTAAACCATTTAGTTAATGCAAACAAAATAAAGCACAGCACTTAAAGTAAAATATGAAGAGTTTCAAAAAGATATAAAAGTCACTCCTGCCATAACAATGATAAGTCGCTATAAGTTCGTTCTAGTCTTTTGCATACTATGTGATTTGTCTCAAGGCGAGGAGAAGTGGTATCTTCCTTTTCAACTGATTTCAATAGCAACTTCACAATTTGAAACTGGTTGAATAGAGGCTTCGTGAATGTTAAACACTTCGATTCCCGTTTTAACAGATTTTCTAACCCTAATGATTCAAAACATGTTTGCTATGTCCTTTTGAACCTCTGCGCAAAGAACGTCAACTTTTGTCAAGATCAAAACACGTTGTACACCTATGTCGTACATGAAGAATGATGCTTGAATGCACTTTAATTAAGGAATATGCTAACATCTTAATATTTAACATGTTTTCATGTTTTATATTTCAAAAATAAAAAAATAAAACATACTTTAGCGGTGTAAGTCGGCTATTTCACACCGGTTCGGGGTTTTGATGCGTAGGATTTTGAATGTCGGTTTAGATTGAAACAAAATTTACTAAGCATTATTAAGCATTATGACTGTATGATTCTGGTTATTTTAGATTTAAGAGAATGCGTTAATCATTAAAGGTTTTTTTCAACTAACAACATAATGAATTAGATCGTTTCGTTGATAATAAATCCATGGATTTGCAACATCGACGGAAATACCGATAGGCACTTTAATCCCCACCCCCCAAAAAACTGCAAGTAACCTAAAGCAATATAAAAATATTTTTTCGAACAGCAGTCACAACTGACATACAATTTTATCGTTGGCACTTGTACATATTTCTTTTATCATGCAAAAATATATGCCATCCATTGAAAAGATCAATCGCTCATTTGACATAAATAACCGACGGTGCATGGTGCAACCTTTTTGTGTGTTTTTCGATATTTTTTAGCATATTAGTTTATACGGAATCGTCAACGTTATTGGGGGTCTCGTTATTTTTGACAAATCTATATTCCAATAATGAGAATAAAATAGCAATGTGAAATAATTAGTAGGAGGAAACATTGTTGAACAGAATTAAATATCTGCAAAACTTAACAACAAAGTGAAAGAAATAAAACTCTTAGTAACTTAAGAAGAAAGTTCATTTCCGGAACTTATTTAGATTAATGAAAAACAAGATAAGTAAAGCATTTCAGAATAATGCTTTACGCTCCTATATAACTTTACTTATTCTAGAATGGCCAATGATATTCCCAGGCTTCAGTTTGTAAATTTAAAAGATTATAAAAAATTCTTCTTTTATTTTGTCTTCCCCGTAAATTTTACCGGAAGTAAAACTATTTTAGACGGCTTTTGACCGGCAAGAAGATAGAAAAATATTAATGTATTGCGTTATTATCTTATCGAAAGGAGGACAGAGTATAAATATGGCAGTCGCATTAACATAAAATCAGTAACAGTGTCCATTTTGATGGCTGATTTGTGTCATTCGTGTTTTCGCCCCGCGACCTCGCCAAGCGAAAAGTCGATAATTAACAGGTTAAAATGGCAGGGACGGGGAGCAAAACACGCTTATTAGTGTTGTTATATTTTTCTGGTCCTTCGGGATAATTGATGCGAGCACTATTAAGTGTTGAGAATTGAGTAGCGCTCAAGTCGGCGCTAGGGGGCGTGAGGGATTTTGCACGTAGTCATAACCCGTCATGTATAGACTCAATCAAACCGAGTCTGCAATTCTCTTGTAATGTTGTTGTGATTAATGCTTTGGCGAGCTCCTCCATTTTAATATGTAAATTATCGACTTTTCGCTTGGCGGGGTCGAGGGACGAAAACACGCTTATTAGCGGGATCGCAGGGCGAAGTTTTATTCATTAAACTTTGCCCCGCTACCCCGCTAATCAATATGCTTTCGTCCCGCGACCCCACTGTTTCCTTCTTAAAGCTCGCTCTGCGACCCCGCAGGGCGAAGTTTTATTTATTAAACTTGTCTCGCGCTCTCGCTAATTAGCGTGTTTTACTGCACGCCCCCCGCCATTTTAACTTGTTATTTTTTAACTTTTCGCTTGGAGGGGTCGCGAGGCGAAAACACGAATAACACAAATCAGCCACCATAGTCGATTGATAGTTTAACATCGTTTTTTTCACTGTGTATAGTGACACAATCACAACTCATGTTGGAATATTGTATGAAGAAAGTAATATTTGTTTTGATGTCCTTATTTAAATGACTTTCTGATTATATGCTATAAAATAACGATAAAATCAATTATTTACTGAATATAAATAAGGTAATGTCACATGTAAGAAAATATAAGACAATATCAGTAATAACAATCGTACTACACAATATCAGTAATAACCATCGTACTACGATGGATGATACGTCTTTTCGGAACAAATGCTCTCTTTACTTACGTAATTGCTTCACTGCATCTTGTATTTGTTTAATTTTCCTGACATAGGCCTGAGGAACGCCAGAATGCATGACATTTGCATCAGCTACAAAAACAACACAATGGGTCTGATGTTCGAACCTGGGACATTCACGCCAGTAATTTCCGTTTAGCCGTGAAATTGGGCGTCTTGGGTCGAACTGAAATTTAGAAGTAATAAGGGGCATTAGCAATATTGCAATTTACAATCAACAGTAAAATCATGATAAAAGTAATACAATAAAAATGTTATCTGTTTATGCCGTTCATGATTAGTGTACTCATCCATACAAAATTGTGTGTTTTTTTTGCCAAAAGCATGAAGTCCAATTGCCTTTTTTTTAACTTTTGGACATATAAAACAAAGAGCATTTACAAAAAGGGAACTTTAAATAATACTTAAATTTACCAATTACCATATAACCATCCTTAACATGCCCTTTAAGAAGAGAAACCATGTCAGCAACATTTAATCCTTCCTCAGCACTTTGTTCTATCCCCATGCAGTCCCTTAGACGAAAATTTTGTAGTAAGCATTTATCTGAATATTTATCATACTGAAATGAGAAATTCAAAAAAAAAAAAAAAAAACCAACGTAGATCTTTCACAAAGACTTGTATTTATCTATTGTACACTTTACCATCAATAGGGATTTGTGTTGCCGACTTTTATTCAAACTAAGAATATTTATGCACGGATTTTTATTTATTAACTATCAATGTCACGAAAATGTGTGTTTATCAAGAAATAAGTACAATTGTTTTAATTCTTTTTAATACATTAAGGTATCAACTAGTTTGTTGTTGAACAACAAAATGAAAAACTAAGATTCACTGATTTAAGGTGTGATTTTTAATAATTATCAATTTTGATTCATGTTAAGTGAATTAAAATAGGTTTGATTAAATTGTACTGTACACTTTCATGAGATCTAATATTGGTGTTCGAGGACTGCTTTACTCGGGATTAAAATAGCACTTGTTTATTAAATTCAAGACAGAACTGTATGTTAAGTTAATAATGTAAGTAGAATAGATAAAAAATAAGAACCCCTAAAGAAAGTCCAAAAACACAATTGAAAATGTTGCAGGAGCAGTTTGAATGAGCCTGCTCATGGACGGTACTGTCAAGTGCAAACTACCATCCACGCCCCCTATCACCGGCTTTAGCAGAATTCAACATTTAAACAATTTGGAATTTAGAAACATCTGCAGATGTGTTCATACGGCGGTTATCATGGAACCTACATTGCGACACTTTCGTGCCATTCCATGAAAAGCGGTGTATTATCCCCAAGTAATAGAAAGCATGTGCACTAAACGAGAAAACAATGTGCGGAACGAAACAAAATGGAAACCATTTCTGTTTATTATTTCCCAGAATAAAAATATCCATAATTATGCTAAAACTTTGTCATTTTATTATGCTTAAACTTTGTCATTTGAAATATGTGTTAAAAAATTGTCCAATATCTACAAGCATGATAAATATGGACATATTCTGACATATCAAAGATAAGTTATGGTCAAATTTGATATTTTAAAAAACTGATAATTACTATACAGTGTCTTTTGAAATGTAAAATAAACATATTTTAAACACTCACAGAGATTTATGTAATGTTTTAAACTATACACACAACAGGTAATCACAGTATGATTAAAAAAGAAGACAAGTAATAGGGAATGCAGCTTCCAAAAAAAAAGTTAATACATTTACTAATTCACATAAGACAAATTCAGATTAGATTTGTTTATAGATTTCTTGAATAGATGTACACCTAGATATTTAAAGGATTTGACAACTTCGATTTTTGTGTTAAATAAGTAAAAATCATAATTTGTGTGACGACCGTTTTCAAAAATCATTATTTTTGTTTTATTAACATTAAGTTTCAAATTGTAATTATTACAGTATAATTCTTTATCGTTTAATAATGATTGTAATGTTTTAGGGTTTTTAGAAAAAATCGCAGCGTCATCTGCAACAATAATAGAAATATTTGCATATCACCAAGATTAATTATTCCATCTAAATTATTCCGTGTACTTTCCAAAATATCATTAAGGAAAAATAGACACAATAAACTGCTTGACGAGTCTCCCTGTTTAACTCCAACTTGACTTGACATTATTATAACGCACGGAAGATTTAACAGAGGTATACATAGACCTTAAGGCAACAATAAATTTAGAACATAAGCATTCAAAAGTTTTTGCCATAGTAGTACACGGTCAATTCTATCAAAGATCTTTTCCCAGTCGAGAAAAGCAACGAACATTTTTTCTTTATTTGATATAGTTTTTGCAATAAGTGAATAGAGTACAAAAATACAATCGATAGTGGATTTATTCTGTTGAAACCCGTATTGATTGTCTATTAATTTTTCATGCTTTTTGGCCCATTTAGTTAACCTACTTACTAAGAGTTTTGAGTAAATTTTCGACAAAATGTTATTAAGTGTGATGCCCGTAAAATTTTTGACTTCTTGACTTCCGCCTTTAAATATGGGTATAATTAGCCCTTCAGTCCAGTTTTCTGGAAAATATCCGTGTTGGAATATTTTATTGTAAAGTTTTAATAAAAAAGGTGAAATAAGTTCGAATGATGTTTTAAATATTTCTGCTATAAGGTTGTCCATTCCTGAACTTTTGGAATTATTCTGGGCAAAAACTGCGTTTCTTACTTCCGATTCTGTGAATTCAATATCCAAATCTTCATCTTGGATATAGTTTTCCTGACTTTCATTTTCATTAAAATTATTTTCATTTGATTCGGGTGGTTCACCATATTGTTTGTTGAAATGTTCAAATAAATCTTGAAACTGTACATTTACGGGATCAGATGACATCTTTTTATATTGCAAATTAACGTTTCTCCAAAAAGATTTTGGATTACTTTTAGAGAGCTCTGCAATACAATTGCCCTCTAAACGTTTATTTTTTATTTTTTGTTTACGTTTTATTTGTATATATAATCGTTTTTTATCTAAAAACTCTAATTTATTTTCAGAGTTCCTGTTTCGTAAATATTTATTTTTTGATTTATTAAATTCTCTTCGCGCTTGAAGACATTCGGTATTAAACCATTTATTTTTATTTGAATTAACTTTCCGTTTGTTTTTAGGTAACTTATATTTACCAAATATACTAAACGCATTGTCCCATAATAGTGAAGTAAATAATTGTAGTGACTCTTCAACTGATTCAATATTGTCGCTTAAGTTTAAAATAATACGATTTTATTCGGTTGAATGACTCAACATATTGTCATAGAACTCATTTGCGCGCAAATAATCCCATGAAATGACTGGTTCGCCTTGCGTCGATATTTGGTCACGTGCTTCGAATGAATATTTACAATTTAAGCAAAAGTGTATAGCGCAGTGATCAGAAAATTCATTCGGTGACTGAATTTCAAAATTTGAGATATGCTCGAAATCATTGTAGTTCGCTAGAACATAATCTTTTACCGTTGCTGCAGTATTATTAATAAAAGTAAATTCCCCAATACCGTTATCATGTTTTAACCTGCCGTTTGCTATAACGATATTTGTAGATTTACAAAGGTTTTTAAGTCGTTTTCCATGAATATCAAGAACTTTATCTTTGTTTTTTCTTTCTGGTATATTTACATTACTTTCTAAGTCATAATTTGAATCTAAAAACCTATCGTAAATGATAAAATCGCGCTCGTTTGCAGTTCTAGAGTTAAGATCTCCATTTATAAATACTTTTCCTAATAATTTGTATTTCTCAATACCTGATTCTATTAAATCAAAAATATTTACATAATTATGCCTAATAACATTTGAAAACAAAAACAATAACAACTTATTTGTGATACATGAAAGAAAAAAACCCTTTTTTATTCCTATATTCTAATACCAAGTGGCCGTAACTCTATGGAGCTCTAAAGACACGCTTTTGAATAACCACTATGTCGAGTTCTGTAACAACACAGGCCACTTTGCTACTCGGACACTCCAAATTATTAAAATCTTGCAAAATAACGACCATTTTGTCGCAAACGAAAGTGCAAAACCTGCAATGTATGGTTCCGATTAAACTTTTTAATATAGGGTTAACGCACGTTTTTCCGTGTTATAACGTCTGCAGAGTCCCAAGAAACGGTTGGTGCCTGAGCCCGGTAGGGCGAGGGGACCAACAGTCCCGAGTGACTCTGCAGACTTTATAACAAGAAATTAACGTGCGTTGATGCTATTATAGCATAAACTTTTAAAACAGATTGATGATTTTTTATTTAATACAAAACACATAAATTAAATCCTTGTGGTTGGACGGTATTTAACCAATTCTACATGTTTTACGTATGTATTTATTTTTCTGGGGCCAACAACTTGGGAAATACAAATGCTCAGAACCGAACGAAATTTAATTGACATAAAAAAGCTTAACATCGGAGATTTACTTACTCAAGAAAAAACATTAAAATTACTCTACCCAATGCAAAACATGACCCTCAAAAATTCCAAAAATGATTTCAGATTGATAGTAAAAAAAGATCAGTGAACATCAGAATCGTTTATTTCTTTCAAGCTCACAAGTTTATTAAAAAATCAGGCAGTAAACATTATTATCTCAAAGAAATATAAAGAGCATTTATCAATATAAACATCAATAAAATATGATAAACAAGGTCAACAAGGAAAGGCGGCGTTCAATGAACGCAACCCCCACCCGACCCAGTAACAAGAGCCAATGGCGAGGAGCCCAGGAGGACCCCAAACAAAAACAGGACAGGGCATAAGGCGGAGCATGGGCAGGTTAACAACTAAAATCATACATAAGAATAAAAAATTATTAACTGATAAGGAACTAAAAGAAAATAAATATATGATTGAATAATAGCAAATAAATTCAAAGGTCACAGGGGAAGGGGACAAGGGACACAAAAGTGTCACCAAAACAGTATGAAACAACATAGACATACATCTGAGGAACACAGAGGGGCGCCGCCTGGGAACGATCAGCAGCATAAATACTACTGGGGAGTTTAAACCGGTTAATGGTGCACCAAACCTCACTCTAAGCCCCACCATGTTCCTATAAACGAGACAGTGTAAATAAAGTGAATCTCCGCCAAGTGAAATTTTAACAGTTGCCATGGTTACAAAAGGTGAAATAAGTAAAACATTGAAATGCTCATGTAGAAACATTACACAACATTTTCTCATATTTATTTGTGCTATCTTGTTTTGTAAGTTAATTGGAGGGTTAAAGTGAATGACATATATTTGTTTGCATTGACAACTGTCCGTTTCTTAGAAAGGGCGACAATCAAGATAAGCGGTGATGTCCATAAGCAGTATTTCCGGCATAGTTAATTGAATGTTGTTCACCCTAATGCGATTGAGGCCCTCGAATCAATATAACAAGAGCGCATGATTCTTTGGCAAACATGCCAAATCGTCATTTTTTGTTTGTTTACTGGGCCCTGTATGTATTGCGCATAGGTAAAACCGGGCTATAACAAGAGCGCGTGACTATGCTCACACATGGTTTTTGTCCCGTTATAACATGTGCAAAAAGAGGGAAAAATAGCCGATTTTATGCTATAATGTAAGTTATCTAAGATTGTATATGTAGAAGAAGAATGCTAACAATTTTCTAAATGCACAATGTGTATCTTTGATCTGAAATAAAAAAATTCAAATACAAGGACAGTGTACTCGAAAAGGAGGCTACAATGTAAAGCCCGTTTAATTATTTTTATACAAATAAAATAAAAAACTAACTTACACATGTTGTACAACTTTTGTACCCACTTGCAGTCACAGCAATATCAAACTTACGTCCATTAGAAACAGATAATATTGCATTAACAAATGAAGACTTTCCTGCTCCAACAGGTCCAACAAGTACGATAGTAGGTTTCAATGCCGGTTTTATTTCTTTTATTTGCTCACGAAGTAACAATTCAAACTGATAAAGAAATACAATAAATCGACATTCCTTCATATCATAAAATTACAATTAACAGTACATTTTATCATATTGCAATAAACTATGAAACCTTCACTAAAACAATAAAGTAAAGATTCTAACATTTTTGTACATAAAGAAACGCTCAAATTACAGTAGAAATGTCGAAGTTTTTAGATAACTGAAGCATCAAGAGTCATGATATGCCATACGTTTGGTTTTTATGAAGTGGACCTCACTGGAAGACTGTATACATGGGGGTCAGTCAAAAATACCTGTGTATTGGTTAATATCTCTTAAATGGATACACATTTGTAAATGAAATTTGATAAACACGAACATTACGATTCCCGCATTGACACACGTATAAACTAGTCATTACAAATTATGAGAACAATGATAACTGAAGGTGCGTTCGCGTTGACGCTAGAATTTGAATATTTTCGGGAAGATTGCGCTTTTTAATGCTACCAAAAAATGACCTGCAGTGTGCCTCTCAGAAATGGGTTAGTGATTCAAGAAGCGCCAAAAAGAATGACAAACGAAAATTCACCAATGTTTGTAATAATTCGCCGTATGTTGTATGTATATGTTTCAAGCAATATAAAAGCCATCAAGGAAGTTCCTGAAGGGTGCTTATGAAGGCTATAACGAAATCTTTTTGAAGTACATTCTATTTCCAGAATTACCACAAACGACCAAAACTGAATTATATTACGCCACTAAGTTTGCACGACAAAGCTGCGTATCATTAGGCGAACCTAATTTGGACGTTTTTTCGAGAGTATGAGTTTGAATACTGGAAACCCCCTGCCTATTCTCCGGATTTCAGCCTATATGATTATTATTTCTTCCCAAAACTAAAAGACACCTAAAATCTTAATTCGTTTAAGTGATTAACATAAATGAGGTTGTGCGGATCGTCATCACCTTGTAACCGCCATTTTTGTTTGTTTCCACAGAAACGTGAGTCTTCCATACGATCTGGAGGAAATTAAAGTGTTGTATTGTAATTTCGTAATTTTAGTGAATGTATTTGTGTTACAGACACTCCAGAAATTTTATTATTTTTGACTGTCCATTGTACTGTATAAATTCTTACATGCCAAGCGCTTAGCAATGAAAAACAACAAATGTTTAATAATAATAACCATAAAGAACAAGATGGCCATGATGGCCCAGAGTCGCTCACCAGAAAAAACTGCTTCTCAGTGTTGGAAATTATTTTTCAAAAGAACTTGCTGAAAGGCAAGTTCAGCTCTTTCGCCAAGTTCAGCTCAACTTTAACTTGCCCCTCTAGTAATATACTTTTACAACACTGATTATTTTAGGTTTTTTTCTTCAGCCGCTAAAATGGCCCTAGATCACTAATGTAACAAAAGCTCAAACATTGTGAAAAATATGAAAAGTCGGACAGTTGATTCAAAATTCAATTCAGCATTACAAATTACAACCCTAGTCCAAATTTCCAGTTTGTATGACAAAAAAACACAAGAATAATGGTCAAATTATATCAAAAATATTAAAAGTAGGTCAGTTGAATACTACAGACAAAGTTTGGTGAACATCCATCTTTTTGTTCTGTAATAGAAGATGTTTAAAGGTTTTTCTATTTTTAGCTCTGTTGACACCTTAAAGGGGTCAATTGAATTGACATGAGCAAATTTAAGTGTGACTGTCACAAGGATGCTACATTTTAGGTAAATCTGCCCAGCGATTTCAGAGAAGAAGACGATTGTTGACGACGAACGCCGGAGTATCCCCCTTTGATACTAATAGCTCATCCTGAGCCTTCGGCTCTGGTGAGCTAAAAAGCAATAAAAAGAGTGTTTATGATCATAATGTCTATGATTTTAACTAAATCTTTTCAGACAAAACAAGAGTCTTACTTGTTCATTCCATGTAGGTGTTTTTCTCCATGGCAGTTTTGTAAAAGGACTTGGCGGCGGTGTACCTGGGAAAAGAAAATCACATGTCATTACACAGAACTATAGATAATCTTTGGAGCCAAAATGTATTTTGATCCTTGTTTTGTTTATTAAAGGGTGTCATATGGGGAAACATGGTCTTGATCAAAGTAAAGCTTGAACCAAGGATACGTGGGTTGAGAGGCAGACACCTTAACCATAAGCCCACCGCTGTTCTCAACAAATAAGCCTTTGTGCATCAAGAGCAGAGAGTGTCGCCTTCATCAGTTCATCAATTAGAATAAAGTGACTTCAGTCATCTCTGCTTAATATGCCACCAAAATTATATTTTTCTTGTTATGAAAACTTAATCATCAGACATTTTTGGGCCATCGTCAACGAAAACAACAGCCAAAAGCCGATTCAATCCGTGACGACAAAATGCCAGTTTTGGACAAAATTGTTAAACAAGAGGGCTATAATGGCCTTGAGTAGCTCACCAGAAACAACTGTTTTTCAGTGTTGGAATGTCAATATGTTCTAATATTAAATTTGAGTATAGAATATGTTTAAACAATAATTTGAAGAAATGCCATGACCTGGCGCATTTAAGCTTAAGCTTTAAATGGGCTTATCAAATTAATATGAGCAAACTTGATAAAAGACTATCTAAGAATGCTACAGCCAAGTATGGTGATCATCAATTATTTCAGTAGGAAATGATGTTCGAAGGTTTTCTCTTTTTTTAGCTTTAGTGGCCCCTAAAAGGGGCTAAACAAATTTATGTTAGCAAACTTGATAAATGATTACACAAAAATGCTACCGACAAAGTTTAGTGATCATCCATCAATTAGTTCTGTAGGAGAAGATGTTTAAACGTATTTCTATTTTTAATATAAGCGGCCCCTAAAAGGGGCCAATCAAATTAATATGACCAAACGTGATAAATGACTACCCAATAATGCTACAGCCAAGTTTGGTGATCATCCATCAATTAGTTCTGTAGTAGAAGATGTTTAAATGTTTTTCTATTTGTAGTTTAAGCGGCCCCTAAAACGGGCCAATCAAATTAATATGAGCAAACTCGATAAAAAACTACCCGAGAATGCTACAGACAAAGTTTGGTGATCATCCATTAATTAGTTCTGTAGCAATAGACGTTTAAACATATTTCTATTTTCAATTTAAGCGGCCCCTAAAAGGGGCCAATCAAAATAATATGTCGAGCAAACTTGATAAAAGACTACCAAAGAATGCTACAGACAAAGTTTGGTGATCATCCATAAAATTAGTTCTGTGGCAATAGACGTTTAAACATATTTCTGTTTTAAATTTAAGCGGCCCCTAAAAGGGGCCAATCAAAATAATATGTCGAGCAAACTTCATAAAAGACTACCCAAGATTGCTTCAGACAAAGTTTAATGATCATCCATCCATTAGTTTGGTAGAAATAGACATTTAAAGGTATTTCTATTTTTAGTTTAAGCGGCCCCTAAAAGGTGCCAATCAAATTCATATGAGCAAACTTGATAAAAGACTACCCAAGAATGCTACAGACAAAGATTGGTGATCATCCATCAATTAGTTCTCTAGAAATAGACATTTAACGGTATTTCTTTTTTCAGCTATAGAGACCCCTCAAAGGGGCAAATCAAATGAATATGAGCACACTTGATAAAAGACTATCCAAGAATGCTGCAGACAAAGTTTGGTGATCTTCCATCAATTAGTTCTGTAGAAATAGATATTTAAAGGTATTTCTATTTTTAGCTTTTGCGGCCCCTAAATGGGGCCAATCAAACTAATATAAGCAAACTTGTTAAAAAGGATACGTAAAAATGCTACAGACAAAGTGTAGTGATCATCCATCAATTAATTCTGTAGGAGAAGATGTTTAAAGGTTTTTCTATTTTTAGCCCTAGAGACCCCTAAAAGGGGCCAATCAAAATAATATAAGCAAACTTGTTGCTGGGTAATATGGGGGTTGCGTTCATTGAACGCCGCCTTTCCTTGTTGATCTTGTTTATCATATTTGATAAAAGACTACCTAAGAATGCTACAGACAAAGTTTGGTGATCATCCATTAATTAGTTCTCAAGAAATAGACTTTTAAGGGTTTTTCTATATTTAGCTTTAGTGGCCCCTAAAAGGGCCAATCATATTAATATGAGCAAACTTGATAAAACACTACCCATGAAAGCTACAGACAAAGTTTGGTGATCATCCATCAATTAGTTCTGTAGGAGAAGATGTTTAAAGGTTTTTCTATTTTTAGTCGTATGGACCCCTAAAAGAGGGCAATCATAATAATATTAGAAAACTTGATAAAAGACAACCTAAGAATGCTACAGTCAAAGTTTGATGATCATCCATACATTAGTTCTGTAGAAAAAGATGTTTAAAGGTTTTTCTATTTTTAGCCCTAGAGACCCCCAAAAGGGGCCAATCAAATTCATATGAGCAAACTTGATAAAAGACTACACAAGAATGCTACAGACAAAGTTTGGTGATCATCCATCCATTAGTTCTGTAGAAGAAAATGCTTAAATTGTTTTTCTATTTTTAGCTCTGCTGACCCCTAAAAGGGGCCAATTGGAATGACATGACCAAATTCAAGTGTGACTGTCACAAGGTTGCTACAGACCAAATTTGAAGTAAATCTGTCCAGCTGTTTCAGAGAAGAAGACGATTGTTGACGCATGACGACGGACGCCAGAGCACCCCCCTTTGATACTAATAGCTCACTCTGAGCCTTCGGCTCTGGTGAGCTAAAAAAGTTATGATCCAGGTACAAGTTTGCGCACGGCAACTGCAACGCCGCCGCGACTATAACAATACCTGTACTTTTTTCAAAAAAAAAAGTCGAACTAAAAACTAATGGCAGAGGGGAAGATACTTAACGTAGACATGAAAAGAACAAGGGACACAAACAAAAGTGTCACCAAAACAGTATGAAACAACATAGACATACATCTGAGGAACACAGATGGGCGCCCTCTTGGAACGGTCAGCAGCACAAGTACTGCTGGGGATGAACTCTACTGAACGCAAGACTCTTATTTTGGTAATGGGATTTAGAGACCGAACCTTCTG